TTATTATTATTATTACAAACGAATGTTGTCAATCAAATAGAGAGAAAATTTTTTTTTACTCCCAAAACGAATTCACCCGAAAATACAACCTGGTCGATCAAATGGGCTATAAGTAGATTACCGAAAAAAAATGAAAATGAAAATGAAAATAATGAATAAAAATTGAAGATTACAATTAGTAGCTAGAAATGAAATGAAATGAAATGTCATATGTTTGGCCTCTGTGCGTGTCAGATCATTGCCATTTCATTTATTATTTCTATGTGTGTGTGACTCATATTGAATATACAAAATACACATACCATCTCCATCCAACAATCACCGTTTCAACCAAAAAAAAAATTGAAAATTGAGCCTGCTCCAACCGACTATTCAGCCAATTCCGAATCATTTCATTTCATTTCATTCATGTTCACCGTGTATACTAGGAAAATTTATGCTTTCCATTCATTTTATATGTATTTTCTTCTTCGTGTAAATGAAAATTTCTTCATTTTTTTTTCATTCGAAGAATGAGCCAAAATAGAAAAAAAAAATCTTGTCTCTTGGCACGGGCAAATTACAACACGACACGACAACAACAAACCAGAAACGAAAAAAAAGGCGAAATGAAAAAAAAATTCAAATTGATTTATTTTTGTTCTAGTGTTGTTGGTTATTTCATCAAATGAGTTTTTTTTTCATCATTCGTTCGTTCGTTTCGTTCCATTCATCCATCCATCCATCCAAAACATTTTCATTTTTGCTTCCTATTTTTTTCCATAGAAAAAAACAACACTGATGTTTTTGGTAATTACAAATTTAAATTTAAGCTAGATGGGTATGCATGAATATATATAGCCATGGTGGTGGTACACCTGGCAACACCTATATGAATGGCCCATAAATTATCAATTTTTTTTGCTATTCGCCCAACCAAGATGTGGCGGTGGTGGTGGTGGTGGCTCCAAATAACGAATTTTTCTGCTTGATTTTTTTTTCGTTAGAAATCGAATTCGAACGAAACCTAGCAACCATAACTAATTTGTTATCGAAAAATTTAATTTCAAGGAAATTATTATTCAGATTTTTTTTCCATATTCGAATCTAGTAATGATTAGGTTTTTTTGGATACAGTGTTACACATTTTTTTTCCTCCTAATCTGATCAAATTGATTGATTGATTCAATTCTGGTCAAACACTTTTATGTTTTAGGATTGACAGAATTTGCATAATGATCATATTTTGTACAAATATTGACCTGATCATTCGCCAAAAAAAAAACATCTGAGCCCTTGTGAAATTAAATGGTCAGTGATTTGAATAGCATACAGAGGACACAAATTATGATATCATTCATGTGATCATACATAATCCATCTTATGACACATCGGATCTTATTCCTTGACAAGTTAGTTTCTTTATATTCCGGCCATTCTTGTAATAAATCTAATTAATTTTGACAGAATTTTTGGATACAAAACAACATTGTTGACGACGATGAATCGATTACATTCAAGTCAGTCAAACTAGTTGTTTTTTTTTTTTTCGCCTACGATCCATATCCATATACGTGATTCAATGATGATGATGATGATGATGCTATTGTTAAATTAGATAACACATCAATCATGTTTATGTGTGTGTGTGTGTGTGGTGTTGGGAAATTTGATGCGACAATTCTCTGGCCATAATTCATATTAATTCTATATAAATGTCCATAATAATACTAATCTTGCATCCAATCTTTGTTGTCAATGAAAAATGATGATGGTTTTACTAGCATTTACTGTATATCAAAAAGAAAATTTTTTTAAAAAATAAAGTAATTTTGATAACTTGTAGTTTGAATGGTTTCGTTCGTGTGTGTGTGTGTGTATCTTAAGCTTACCTTCAAAGTAGTATTGCAATTTTGAGAAAAGCCACAAATCAAAACCATAAAGATAAAAATGAAAATAATGTCCATATACACATACCTCATAGCCATAGGTTTGTTAAATGAAAAAAAAAATAAATTCCCAATCCACACAAACACACACACAGACACACATTGGATCATCACAAATTTCGGCGTCTTAATTCAGTTATCCTTCAATCTTAATACATAGATGCAATATTTCTTTCATATGCCAAACGATTATATTCTTATGGGGCGGCTGCCTGGCAATTATTAGAAAGGAAATATTATCTTTATGACAAGCTTCAATGATATAATGGCTTTTTTTTGATATCTTTGTCGATTGTCGTCGTCATCATCATCATCTTCGTCGTCGTCGTCGTCGTCGTCGTTGTTATTGTTGTTGTTGATCCGTCACACATTGGATGTCACAGAAAAATAGTTTTTTTGATTGGTAATTCTTGTTCTCGCTTTCTCTGTTTTTCTTAAAATTTGAAGAAAGGTTCATTTTTGTGTTGTTATCTTACTTTTTTTTTGTTGTCTCTGCTGTCGTTTACATCGTTGACCTTTGCGTCCATCATCGTCGATTATCATTGATGATAGTTGCTTGATCATTGAAGAAAAAAAAATCTAATTTTGTCATTTACATTTTTTCCGCTTTCGCTTCTGCTTCTGCTTCTGCTTCTGTTGTTTGTTTGTTTGTTATCTATAGAAGACCCTATGAAAGATACAAAGATATGAAAGATGTTTAAATTGTCGATTATTTTTTTTTTTATTCACATTAATTCATTATGACCAGATAACGTAATGGCCAGAAATGTGAAATGAGCGATATATATAGAGAGAGATATGAATTATTGGCACACACAAACAAAAAATTTTTTTTTTTTACCATAAATATATCGTATAGATCCGTGAATTGGTAAATTCTGAAACACGATTATCGACATTTAGGTGTGAAATGGCCATTTAATTTTATTTTTATTTTTGTTTTTTTTTTGTATTTTTAATAATTCCTGGCAGCAGCAGCAGCAGCCGCCAACACACTTGAATCCATCTCTTCCTCCACCACTTTTTATTTTATTATTTTTTTTCATTTTGGTCAAAATGATATTGTTTTGGATGCGCTTTTATCATCATCATCATCATTACGATTATTTATGACTTATTATCATAATCATAATATAGAATATATGCCCAAGAAGAAGAAGAAAAAGAAAAAAAAAAGTAGGCTTGACCGTTGTGTTCTTTAAGATGTTTTGTGTTGTTACCTGTGTGTGTGTTGGTCTGAACCTTTTAATTTGCCTAATGGTTGCGCTCCGTTTTTTTAATTTTTTTTTTGTCTGACCTGTTTGTATGATGAAGAAAAAAGTGACGCGGCCTAGCTTTTTTCTTTTTTTCTTTTCTTTTTTTTGTAGCTTCCTTTTCATACATTTTTTTTGCCGATTCAAAGTTTTCTCTGTGTGTGCGTTCGGTTGAATAGAATAATAATAATGATAATGATGATAATAATAATCATAAAAAACATGGAATGTGGCAGGAATGATTATTGAAAAATCTTTTAATTTTGTAGTCCAACCAAAATGAGCAGTATAATATGACTATGACTATGTTGGCTGGCTAAAATTGTTTTTTTTTCGACTTTTTAAAAAATTTTTTTTTTGCCAAACTTTGCTGTTGTTGAATTTCGTGATTAAATTTCTCTTACAAACAAACGAAATTGTTGCAGTGCTTACATTGAATTTCTAATTGATTTTTTTTTCTTTGCGCTGCTTTGGTTGATGATCATACATTGATTGAGGATAATTAACGCCTTGGTATGTGTGTGTGTGTGTGTGTGTTATCTTTTGGTGATCTATGTGATTCTTTCATGATTATTTCTATTTAAAAACTTTCACCAATTTTTGAGATCAATCACGATGATCACGAATTTGCGGGTTATTGATTATTATTTCTAAAATCGAAATACATCGATTTATGATTTTTATTGAAATTGGACAATTTCAATAAATCACAACGCGTGATCGTTTCTCTCTCTTTTTTTGATCATTGGAATTTTTGGTCAAAAAAGCATCATCTGGTTTATTATTTTTAAAATTATTCTAAATAAAACCGAACATTTCGTATTTCTTTACCTTGTTTTCTTCGTAATGCCGTGGATTACAATAGAAAATAATTTCACGTTCAAACATTTCTTTTCATATTTTCAGAAAAGGAACATATCATTTTCAATAAAAAATAATAAAACTGACCATATATTCATGACGATTGATATTTTCATTGATTGTATGATCATGATGATGATGTCTAGACATGATGTGATATCAGATATGACTTTTTGAATTCGACCGATGGTTGTTTTCCAAATAATTTCAGATCGATTGGTCATAAATTTTCAATGATGTAATGGGCATTTTAATTTAACAAGAAAATTTTTCCAAAGAAAAAAAAATTCATTTGTCAAAAAATTCTTAAATTAAAAACTAATGGCTAATGAAGTCATTTTTGTTTTTGTTGTTGTTGTTGTTGTTGTTATTTTTGCTTAGACACAATAACCGGTTTCTTCGCAACATTTGATTGATTGATTGATTGATTTGCATGTGAAACAATCTGATGTGAATTTAATATTTTAATCCTGTTCAAGGTCCAAGGTGTGTGTGTGTGTGTGTATGTTTGAATTTACCCATAGGGCATATTCGTCGATCAAATCGATTAAAATCGACATAATTTTTCCATAGAGATTCACTCACCTGTATTTGAATCAATATAATAATAATTAAGGTTGATCGAATCCTATTTCTGGCCATCATCTTCATCATAATTATTACGGATATCCATCAATTTGATTTATATGCTTTACACATCCCAGTCTTTTGCTCTCTCTCTCTCTCTCTCTCGCTGACACATCTGAATCACTTAATTAAATCATTATTTTCTTAAAGACTTTCCTGTGTGCATGATAAATTGTACTGATTTATTTCGAACCAATATCATTCGATTGTTGTCCCTAAAAAGTTCATTTCAATACCGTTGCACAATTTTTTTTTTTTTCAAGTAAAATGATAATAATAGCTTTGTTCACCTATATTTAATAAATAAAATTTTTCGTTTTTCTGCAAACAGATTCCGCATAGATAATACTGATCATATAATCGATGTAAATCGTGGCAATGCCGCATTTGAATATGATCAAATCAACATCATATGTCCAATGTATACGAAAGGAACAAGAGAAGACGATATTGAAACGTATATCATTTATAATGTGAGTAATTTCATTTCATATTTTTCTTTCTTTCCGAATCATAATTGTTTTGTTTTTATTTGTTTAATAATAATGGTTCCAAGATGAATGATAAATATTCAGGTTCTGACATCGATAAAAACGACAGATTATTATTATTAGAGATACAAAATTGCGTGTACAGATTCCCTTTTTTTCTGATGATTTAGATGAACAAATATTACATGCAGGCAATTATTACATTGCATTGTCATGATCAAATGTTTGAATGGTTCTGATCCTTCCATGTACCTTCCATGTACGATTTTGTCATGCATGTGTCATTGAGTGGTCAAGTTTTTGTTTGCCCTATCATATGTTTTTCTCATATCTAGCATTGTTAATAATCATCAACAATTACAATGACTTGCAATTACACAACAAAATGTTAATGTTAGCCACATTCTTTTGTGTTCAATATGCTGATGGCGATCATCATCATCATCATCATTATGATTATGGTTATGATTATGATTTCCTGTTAGTTGTACAATTGAAAAGACACATATTTTCTATGATGATTGTAACAAATTCTTTTCTGATCTGGATAATGATAAATAGATGATGATGCACGATGTCGACCTCGAAATATATATTAATACAATTGGAATTTGTTATCATTCATTCATTATTGATCAGTTATCGAAAGTTTCTTTTTTGATATTGATTTTCTCTTCATTCTTGAATATCTATTCTATTGATTATTTATTTTTTTTCTCGGCTAATGATTTCTTTGATTGAATTCTCAATTCGATTTGTCATTCATTTTGTTGTTGATAGTCAAAAAAAAAAAAAAAAAATACAAGCAAAGGATGAAAATCATTCCACTTTGAAGAGGGTTATATGAATGAATGGCCAATCACATTTATATCACGATTTTTTTTTTCATTCGATGAATTTTATCGGAGAAAAATATGGCTTTTCTCAATTTACGTACCATGCACATGTATCTAATGATGCGAAATAGGAGAATATCGAACGATGAAAATTTATAATAATGAATTGAAGCCAGCTAAATCAGGTTTATGTTTCGGGTCTAGTTCATTTCGGTCATGATATACAACCAACCAATCTCTATTCAATTAGCGGCCATTTTTTTCCATCTCTCTCTCTACAAATTGATATCAAATTTACTCCACAACGCATTAACAGTCTGGCAATCCGATGACATTTATCTATAGCGACAATCTTGGCAATATGAAACCAGGAAAAATGTGTACATTTTTATATTTGGTCTCTTGTCATTGTCATTCGATTACTGTGTTTTGTAGTGTTTGTTCATCATCATCATCATTATCTTACGACAAATGAATGGCATCACAATCCCAATTAGCGCGCTCAACAAGAACAGATATTTGAAATATTAATCCCTTTCAAAATCAAAAATATTTGAGCAAATCAATAACTAATTTTTTTTTTTTTATTTTCTCTAGTTGGTCATTGAACCATTCCACGATAAAAATGACGTTCATCATCAAAATCATATTCGAGTAGCCAATTTTTTTTGCATTCAAAATTCTGTCAACAAAAGTCTAAACTTTTGCTTGTCGCTTGTTTTGTTGTCATTCATTTATTGAACCATTCTATTTGTTATGTCAAATGAAATACATATCATATGGCATCATCTTCTTAGATGTCTTAGTTTTACCTCATCATGTATCTTTGAGTCTCGATCAGCAAACATCATCATCTTTTTATGGTCGTCATTATGATCGACATGAAATCATCCTAATAACATACATATATAGACCAATGATGATATGAGACTTAAGTTTTTATGACTTGAATGTCGTCAAGATGTGCTGTGTTGACAGTGAATGCAACCGCATATTCTTAATCCAGTTATATTTGAAGTTTTCCTTTTTTGACATTTGATTTGATCCATTTCTTTGGAATTCGTACTCCATTTGAATTTTTTTCTCTCTTTTTTTTTTGCTTGTTATAATGAAACAGAATTCTCAATATTTGAGATTGAAATGGGAAAAAAAATATTGTTAATTGACCATAATGACATTCGATGATGGTGGGTGGGTGGATGGATGGATGTGTCATGACTTAGCATATAATGATGGTAATGGAAAATATTACAAAATGAAGCGACCAAAAAACAAAAATCGCTGTCATTACCATCTGGATGTGTGACATGTGAACTTGTCAATTTTGAAACGACCAATCTCAACATTATTATTTCCTTATATTTTCAATTCATCGAATATGTGAATTGTTCCATATGCTATATGGTCCGCATACAATTTAGCATTGAATCAGTTTCATTCTTCAATTTGTACTTTCATTCATTCCATTTTTATCGTTTTTTTTTGAGTTTACTTGTTTCATACGATAATAATTGACGTTTGATGATCGATCCACATTTGATCGACATTAATTGTTACAATCATCATCATAACTAAAAAAAAAAGTAAAAGTGTGAACTTGTAAAAGAAGTTTCATTTCGTAGATGAGAAATTATTGAACCATTTTTCTTGTTTTTCTTTGTTTCAGTAGATTTTTCCTGGTTGTTTTAACACAAAGTTCTCTTCATTCTCTCCATAAAAACATTACAAATGAAACTTTTTTTTCGTAGGGTCCAAAACATTTAACGATTTCACAATAACAATAATAATCATTATTACATTTAGTCGATTGGCTAGCAACATTTGTAAATGAATGTTATGCGGAAGTAGCCAGCACAAAAAAATGTATGTCAACTCTCTCTCTCTCTCTCTCTCTGCTTCTGGATTATTTCATTGTCATTCGAGAATCGCCATTCTTTTTTTTTTTTTTTTTTTTTTGGCTCGTTGAAGTTGTAGTTGTTTTTCATTTTCTCTTTCAGTTTCAGGAACGATACAACCAATTCTTTTTTGTTGTTCCTGTTTGTTTCATTATTTATAAACATGCACTATTATTCCTATGTCATTTATATATATGGTGGATCGATCATTCTGTTTTCTGGAACCATATTTTTGCATGTTTCACTTGAACATTGTTATTTATTATTTTATTTGTTCCATCATTTCACTTGCATTGTAGAATGAATTAAACATTGAGAAATGATAATAATTTATTTAAAAATTATCATCGTGATGACAATATATATGGCGACAAACGCCATCTTTGATTATATTATTTTGTCGGTACGTTTGATTTGAATCAAACTATTCTTCGAAAGCTAGGTTTTCATAAATGTCCATCTTATCAAAAACTAATTCATAAATGATAAAAGGTCTCTTCTCATTTTTACAGTCACATTATCTCATTATACATATCAGATATATATTTGTTATCGATTGTTGAATTCCAATTTTTCAAAAAAAATGATGGTCTAGTGTTTGTGCGGTTGTGCAATGCTTTTTTTTATGCACATGTTTTCATTATTATCACCACCAGAACAACAAAAAAAAACCCACTGAGGTTTTTCACCGCAGAAAGAAAAAAAATCAAATCGATATAAAAGCAAGAATTTTTCGCCTCTTCAACTCTGTTGTTTTATCGATCCATTTTGATGAGACCGAGACAGAGAGGGAGAGTGAGTGAAACAAAAGAAAGAAGAAAAAAAATGTTGATGATATGTAAATATATAATCAGAAATGACTCACGACAACTACAACAACAACAACAACAACAACGTCTTTGGCAATCATTCTTCTGTTAAATTGGCTCCAATTTAACGATCTAAATGAATTACAGTGGCGGTAAAATGAGGGTGGAAGGAGAGAAAAAAAAACTGATACACGTTAACAACAATGAATAGACAATGTTGTTGTTATTATGATTTCCAAAAAAAAAAAAGTTTTCATCCGCTATTTTTAAACTTGAATTTCTAAATTTGAATTTTTTTTTTGTTTTTGTTTCTTCATTTATCATATACAAAAAAACAACAACAACAACAAAATCATCGTAAAGAATTTTAAACAATGTTTATTATGATGATGATAAAAGTAAGAAATTTTTTCCATTCTTTTGTCTCTTCTTGATTCTTTGTCAATTTCATAATTATTGAAGATATTTTTGGCTGTTCTTCTTTGGCAGATCTTTTTGATTCTAGTCTCAGCTTGATAGCTTTGGCCACAGTATATGCTCATCATCATCATCATCATCAACAATAACAAAATCCTCTTAGAAATGAGAATAATAATAACAATTTAATGGCCATTCTGGTCACGTTCATTTGAAACACCAGAAACACACATTCATTATTATCCTGATTTTTAGATACACAACTTTTGAACGCGCGGTATCAGTAAAAGTATGTCCATATAATAAAAGCATCGTTGATGATGACCTAAAGATGGTTTTTTTTTCTCTCTCTCTCTCTTATATAAGATCATCAAACTATACAATTCGTGTTATTGATTTATGTTCTTTTCTTTTTGTTTATCTTATGATGACACGCATTTCAAAATTCATTCATTCATTATTCCATAGATTTTAAGATTAACGGCTTTTTTTGTCAAGAAAAATTCATCCGTTGTTTCTTTTCTTTTTCATCAATCATTGATTTGTATATTGTCTTTTTTTTTTTTTTCTTCGTTAACATTGACATTCTTTTTGTTGTTGTTGTTTTGTTGTCATTTGGGAAATTGAATACCTTATGGATGTTTTTTTTTTGTTTTGTTTTGTTTGGTTGTAATTTAATTACCATTCATGAGATTATCAAATCAAATGATGATAGTGTTACTAATGTGTGATGCTGATGATGATGATGATGATGAAATGAATCACGGTCGCATTATCTTTTTAGTCATAATGGACAAATTGAAAAAAATCAAAATAAAAACCTTCATCACGTTATCGTTGTTTAATGTCTTTTTTTTTCTCTTCTTTGTTTGAATAGAATTCAACTTGTACACACAAAGGGAAAAAAAAGAATAATTTAAGTTTTGACCATTACCGTTTCGCTATTCGGTTGTAAGATTACAATTTCTGTCTAATTTAATTGATGCTTGCCTACGATGATGATGATGATGATGATGATGATGGTGGCCTTTGTATTACATTACCATTTTGTCGTCTTACCATAAGTGAACAATTCGGTGTGGTATGGTGTATCATTAACATTGGTCTTTCATTCATTGAAAATCATTAATGTTAAACAAAACAAAATGTTAATTCGTTGTGTCCATGATACAATTCAATGATGATGATGATGATGATGATGATAATGGTCATGGAATTTCTGTTTTTTTTGTTGTTTTGTTGTATCTGCTGATTTGTTCTGTTCTATGTAATTCTGTACAAATGATTTCAACTTGATCTTAATAGTTATTATTATATTACATATATGAATCATAATGATGTCTTTGCTATAGCAGTAGTGTATGTATTTTTTTTAGGGCGAAAAAATATGTTGTTTTTGGTATTCATGTTTTTTGTTGTTTTGTTTTAATATTTACTGAGCTGTATTGTTCATTATATTGATTTATTCATATTCATTTTTTTTTTTTTCTAGGTTTCAAAAGAAGAATATGATGGTTGCCATATTGCCAATGCAGCATTAGCACGTACGATAGCTGTCTGTGATAAGCCATTTTTAAATCGTTATTATACGGTTACATTTCGCCCGTTCACACCACAACCTGGTGGATTAGAATTTCATCCTGGTCAAGATTATTATTTCATTGCATTATCGGCTAAACCTGGAGATGTTTCCAATCATTGTCAGAAATATCATATGAAAGTTGTATTCAAGGTGTGCTGTGGCAAACAACAACAACAACAACAATCATCGCAACAGCCACAATCGACAAGTGCCGCTCATCGACCATCATCATCCATTGGTAAGTGTATGGTTTTTGCTTATTACAAAAAATTTTACTCCAAACAAACTTTTTTTTTTGAGAAAAATTCACTTTAGATGAAAACATTCTATCTATCTGGTCCGGTTGGGCGAGATAGGATTTTCTCATCCTTCAATGAACAATAATTAATTCAAAAAATAAAGTGATGATGATGATGATGATGATAATAATTTATGTTATGATCAAAAACAACAATGCATATAAACCTATAAACCAGAAATTCATTTATGCATTCTGAAGGTCAACCGATGATGATGATGGTGAACCAACCAGCAAGAAAAAAATGATCATTATCAAACTGGCGTGATACAAATTTTTTCCATTGTAATTCATTCATTCATTGTTCATGTGTTTCGTTTGATATTATGATGATTCTGATAGGTCAAACAAAAAACAAAAAAAACACATGTAGCATAAGATATTCAGAAGCGATGTGTGAAACGATCCATTGTCGCTTCTGAATATAATCACTATCAAAATAAAATGGTGAATATAAGTCACGCATTTACCTGTTCATCATTTTGATTCTCGATTGACCGATAAGATCGCTTGAACTCTCTACGAACGATCTAACTATAGTCTAACATTGTTCAAATCTTATTCAATCTGAGATCAAATGCAATTCTTTGCATTTGTAAATAATGATAAAAAAAATTTCTTCATCATTGTCATCGTCAAGCCAAATCGATTGTAAATAATTTACTAATCACATAAATTATTCTCAACATTCTCATTGCATTTCTTATTAGATGCTAGTATCATAGTCAATATCAATGTTTGTGGCGGATGTCAAGTTCATTCATTTCGCTTGCGTACTAATTGAATTCATTAGTTCAACAACAAAAACCAAATAATCTAGATGATGATGATCATCTTTGAAAATGAAGGTCGAAACCATTTTTTTTTCTTTTCTGGTAAAATGGATTTATCCCAATTCAAACACACAATAAACACATCGAAATGTCCGATATAACATGACAGGACTAGCAAAAATGAGAAAAAAAACGGATGCGGCCTGTACAAATATTTACAATAGATTCGATTACCAACAAATGAAAAAAAAATTCAGCTCATTCTTATCCACAAGTATTTCTTCAAGTGTTTCTTCACATCATTCTAACCATAGTTGAACTCATGCTATGCATTGCATTGTATTGTGTTAATATTGCCTTGCCTTGGTTGTGTAGATACCAGAGAAAAAATCGTAATAATACAGCAAACAACACATGTTTAGAGTGGATGGTCCTAGTCCTGTCATGTCATCCTGTTGTATCCTAAGGACCAATAGTGCACTACACCAAAAAACCATCGTTCTTTCAGTTTTTTGGTTTCTTTTCCATTTTCGTTGTGTATATAATAATTTCATGTTTGTTTAGCTATTTAGCTCCCGGCTTTCTCTCACTCACATCCCGATGTCGTCATAAATAATCGCCAAAAATCTTTTGCTTTGGCTGTTATTGGAATGAATCGATAGAATGATGATTAGACACATTATGATTTATAACACACAGCTTCTGGTCTTTTTTTTGGCTGAATTCTCGTTGTTTAGTTAAATTCCATTGTAGCTATTGTTGTTTGATTCTTTGACATCGGCCATGGCCATCATCCATATTGTATTGTCAATATTTGTTTGGAACATCAACACTATTTTCACTTTATTCATGTTGTGTGTGTGTGTTGTTTATTGTTCTTCCTCAGTGGGATGTGGATTCTTTCCCTTGTTTATTGCTTTTGGATAAAATTCTTGAAAATTTTCATTTTCATTCACTTTATTTTACAAAGTATTAAATTTTCTGATTTTTTTTATTCGCTAATTAGTTTCCAAACCTGAACCAGTGAACAACAATGGAATCGTTGGTAGTAACAGCAGTATCAATTCGACTATTGCTCCAATTAGCAGTAGCAGCAGCAGCAGTACATCAATGCCTCAAAGTTCGACATTTTCATTCGTCGAATTTGTACCTGGACATAATAATCCGAATAATATTGGAATAGCCACCTATAAAGGTGTCATCAGTAATGGCGGCAATCACAATTCTACAATGTTTCCGATGGTCGTTCGTCATCCGAAACCTACACGTTCATCATCAACGATTTCATCGTCGATTGTTTCGAATCCAAATCCATCATCATCTAACCATCAGAGCTCATCATCATATAGCAATAGTAATATTAATAGTAATAATAATCATGATAATCGAATCGGTCATCGATTCTATGGTGATCCACGTGGTGGCCGATATTCAAATATTCCACATTATCCGAGCTTGTTTTCCACTGAACGTCCTTCATCACACGGTTCACAAATTAATCCAGCCACACGTATACCACATGTTCCCTATCATCCTTATCATCCGCGACAATTAACATCAACATTAAGGCCTGTCCATGTTGGTTGGCGTCCACATCCCATACCGAATCATCCGGATCATAATCCACCCATTCGACTTTCCGATCAACGTAGCATTGGTTATAAAGGTAAGAGAATACTGAAATTTTGCATGGTCATAACAAAAGCAACATCATTCAACAATCATTTGAATGTGCCAGATGTTCGTTTCATTTAATGGCACACAGCCTTTGATGATCAAAAGTTACTCCCTTATTTATGCTTTGTTCATTGTGGACAAAAACTAATAATTTATCAATTGTACATGGTCGTCGATACAACAACAACGACTAGTCAATTATGACTTTAGTCATTTGATTTGTTGTTTGGTTGGTGTGAATTTGTACACCTTTTTTTCAGTTAAATGACTGTGAACTTACCCTCTTTTGGTGCATTTTCATTTTGTTTGTATGCATCAGTTCGTTTTCAAGTGATTCTTTTTTACATTTCATATTTTTGGCCCGTGTACATTTTCACAATTACTACTAAATAATCTAGTTTCAAAAATCATTTATATAACTCTCACTGAAACACTCAAATGAATTGTTTTGCTTCATTCTGGCTGCAATGCAATAAAATAAATGAACTTTTTTTTCTCCATTCACCAACAATACAATAGAACGACAAACAAACGAAATCCAAAAAAAAAACGGACGATAATTTTAAAAACATAATTCATAATTAGAGCATGTTGTTTGAGTCTTTTGTTGCAGTCACTAACCATTTTGCCTTTCCGTGATTATAATCACTATCCTAGGGTAACTCTTCTATTGCAACATGCAGAAAAAAAAATTATTGATTGACTCGAAAATGGCAAAAATTTAGAATAGCGAAATCCTTTCACATTCTGTGATTCAAGCGAGTAACTAAACAAAACAAAAAAAGTTCTTGTCATCAACGAATGATTTATCCTGTTAATTAGTTTGGGTTTTTTTCTGATTCAATCTAGATATCAGATTCAGTATCAAGTGTTTGTGTGCTACACACATGAATGAATTCATTGTTCAAATCGTTCATTGCCATTTTCATCGAACATTTTGTGTTTCTTTTATCTTGTTGTTTCAATTTCAAATGAAACCATTTAGTCTATGTATCTAGGGTAGAAAGGGAGATGATTCTATGCAATTCATTCATTCATTCATTCATTCAATCATTACAATGTAAAATGATTCTCATTATGAATAGAATTATTCGAATGGCAAAAAACTATATTATGCATTCGATAATTACGTTGCCGCTGTTCATCATCATACATGACTCTATTCCGATAATAACCCATTTATTCTTGCATTCATCATTTCACATTTGATTTTAATGATCATCATTTGTTATTTATTTATTTGCACAGGAATCTATCGACCTAATGATAATCGTGAAAAAAGTGATGGACTAAATAGCCATTCAACATCATTATTAAGGCAATCAACATTGACGATCATATCGATTGTATCGGCGATTTGTTTGGCAACATTAACACTTTGTTCATCATCATCATTATGATCATCATATTTATTATAATGAAACCCTAAACTATATATTGGGTTGTGTTGTCATCTGTATGATGATGATGATGATAACCGATATCTAATCGAAATTCACTCAAAACAAAATCAATCGCCCATGATAAAAAGTGCATTCTTCTCTTGTTCAATCAACATCCACCTTTTTATTTCTTGGTTTCTTGAAGAGCTCACGAACACCCAAAGTGATATACGTTTCGTGTTCCAAATTCATTGTACCATGCTTTTTCGCCATCTTATTTTCTGTAAATCTTATTCACAAATCTGAACGAATTTTTTCAACTTGTTGTTTATTATTTTATTTTATTTATTAATTTTTTCTTTGCCAATTAGTCATGTAAACTTTATCTCTCATTTTTTTCTTCTTTTTCTCATAATGCTTGTTTGCACAATTGTTGTGCATAACGTTTTTTTTATTCATTTTGCAGCCTTTCTTACCATTCTTATACACACACAGCTTTGGTCAACCAGAATCATTCACATGTCTAAGTCAGATACACAATTTCATTTTCAATTACCAAATTTGCCTTTCCTTTTGTGCTCTCTATCCATTTTCCTTATTCCTCTTTTTTTTAAACTCTGTAATTGTTCTGTTGTTTTGGTGGCCTGAAGCGAATCCAAGAATGAAGTGAATTGTATAATGTACATAAACTTATATCATTATTATTATAACCATCATATGGCCGAAACATTTTGTATAAAATTTTTCACCAGTATTTCTATCACCTGTACACAATGTCCTCTGTAAATTATTACATTTTATATTGATGATTAATAAATTTCTTCTATTATATAAATATAAATATTGTTTGTATTTGTATTCATTATCAATAAGGGTTTCGTTAATGAAATGGGTACAAATGTTTATATTTGTATTTGAATCGTATTTGTTGCTATACGAATTGCAAAAGTTCTGCCATCTCATGACAGAGAAAAAAAACAATTTAGTGTTTTACTATGTCTACAGATGTCAGAACTGTTTAAATTCACCCATTTCACTTTTTCATATAAAAAATGCTGCCATCTATTGAAATATAATTTTTTTTTTTTTTTTCGTCAAAAGATGTCAGCATTTTCATATTAACCATTAGTGCTTTGATATCATTTTTCAATTAAAATTAATTTATTTAATACAATGATCCGAACGGATTTCGAGCGCGGTACTAGAAATTAATCTTTAATAAAGTCGATTGAGAGTTGGATACATGGATTTATGATAGACTATCATCATAAATATTTGAGGAGAAACAGAAAAAAATGAAAGAAAGACTTAGTCGTTTGTTGGTTAGATTTACACAATGTATATATAAATGAAGAAGAATCTATCATAATGAATGAAAGATTAAAATTCTATACAATTCAATTCTTGCGATTGTGTGCATTCGTATGAGCTTCCTGTGCGCACATAATTATTGGCGTTTTGTGTTGTTCAATCGATGATCAAAATAAAAATTCGTTTTCAGGAGAGATTTGCAAGAATCGTGAAAATGAAAACAATGATGAAACGAACGTAACATTTAAGCGGATTCTAGCTGTTTGTTCTTTCATTTGTAAAACATGATTGAAATGATGATGATGATGATGATGATGATGAGGAGGAGGAAGAGGAGGAAGAAAACATTGGCTGTTATTGTTCGAAGAAAAAAGAAAGAAGTGAATAATAAGTCCGTGACAGAGAATCTAAATAGGAAACAATACCTTTGTTGTTGTCGTTATTCCTAGTTTGTTTTTGGCAATCATGGTATGACCGAATGCGAAAATGAAAATATTTGAAATAGAAAATAAATTTACAAATCTTGCATATCTTCACGAAACAGGTATGTGGTCCAATAGACCAAATTGAATAGAGCAAACATCAATGGAAAAAATATGCGTGAAATAACATCGATACGTTTGGATCGTGTGGGAAATTTTGATAGCCAACGTTTGCACCAATTTCGTTTGGGCATCACATGTATTTCACAGGCACGCAGCTTTTCACCAGCATAATCTCCATGTTGACGTACAAGCGGTCGCTATATGTGTATAGTGAGCGAATGAAATAAATAAAATAAATGAAATAATGAAATGAAAATGACAAGAATTGTAAAGTAGATGAAAAAAACAATTAAAACTGGAAAAAAGTTGATATGTTGAAACAAAAGAATGAAAGGAATCGCCATCATTGTATAAAATATTCATAAGTACATTGTTGAAGAACAGGAACTGACTTTCAACCGATTAAATGCATGAAATTTAAGTCATAATCTCAAAGACAAAAAACATAACTAGCCAATTTTTTATCAAGGATCTTGTATGATCATTATCATCATGATCATCATGACTTTCTATTGCTCTATTTCATTTAACATGATAAAAATGATAAGGAAGTACAATCCAACATAAAAAAGGAAATGAACAAGTTAATTAAATAGTGTGTGTGTTCATTGTCAGAGAATTTTTTTGAAATTTTCTCTACTCTATTCTCTAGTGTGTTCATAGTTTGTAATTCTTTGTGATGACAAAATACGAACAGTATAAAACAGTAGGCTTTAAAAGATCCACGCACACACAAATAGAATTTCAAATAAAATTCAAACTGGAATGTTTTTTTTTTTGTTGATGAATACATTATCATGATCATCATGTGTGAATGGAATTAATTATAATTCTTATGTACTATGCGAAATATTCATATAGTTTATCAGCATGATTCTCCTTTGAATTTGATGACAGAATTTAATTGGTCACTATATAATGATTGACTTACCATGGCAAATGCAGCATTACGATCATCCATATGTTCGGTTTCTAATGCTGTACCATGTTCAAGATCCCATTTACGTTGAGCAGCTAATGCGGCTTGTTGTTGTTTGAGAGCAGCACGATGTGCATCACTTCTTGAAGCATAATTGACCAATGCGAATTCGAGCAACGCACCAAAAACAAATGTCAAACATACACCTGTCCATACATCGATTGCTTTTGTATAGCTGACAGGCGGTAGCGATGAATTGATGCCTGAAATCGATGTAGCCATCGTTAATAATGTGGTCACACCCAATGATACACGTGCTGGTATGGCATTTGGATCCAGCCAAAATGATACCCATGACACGATGACCAACATGCAGCATGGTATATAAATCTGAATCAAATAATAGCTGAACTCTCGTTTGAATAACAGGTCAACTTTGAGGCAACTGTAGGAACCTACATTAATAAAAAATATTCGGAAACAAAAACAATATGGTTGCGAAAAAATAAAAGAAAATTATTTGATTACAAAATAAAAATGACATTTATTGATAAAAGAAGATTGATCGAATGCGAATGTTCATAATGATGATTGTGATATTTGACTCGACAAAAAGTTTTGTAAAAACTCGAATTCCTATACAAATCAAAGGATATATATTGAAAAAATAAGAGAACAGGAAAAGAAATTTCGATTGATCTGATCGATCGGATTTTGTTGTAATGACGTGCGCGTTCCGCCATGTATCTTAAACTCTATCGAAGTGTACTATATTTAGTAGTAGTTCAGACTTAGTTTATTTTAACGGAAAAAAATTGATTTGTTGACCGATCGAATTTTTTATTCCCCAACGAACGAATTTCCATTCAGTCAGTCAAGATCGAAGTTTATTTTTGTAGAACAATCATTCTATCTTTGCCCGTTTTGTTGTTCCAAGACAGTCTTTCGCATTCACTAGGATGTTGGATGTCACCGCGAATCGGTTCCCACAAATCATTTTCTAATTTAATTAGATATCTTTTTCGAGTTCGTCGTTCTTGGATCATCAATACAATAAGAAATGTAATACTCGGTAAAAATAATGATATAAATAAAAATATCGGTACAATACAATCGACTTGAATTTCATTCACATCCGTTTCGATCATTTTCTTGTTCGACCTTTGATCAATGCTTTTCAATAGTTTAAAGTCTATTCTTTACACTTTTCATATATTTCTCTTGTTTAATTCACATATAATCAAAGTGATTTGAACATGACTCTATTTGTTGCCAACCAAAGTGACTAAAACATCAAACAAACAAGCAGCTTTTTAGCTAAATAAGCCAGACAGGCATAACAATTTTCACACATTATAAATTAAATTATATTGGCTTCGAACTAGAAAAAAAACTAAATTTTGAAATTACCAACCAACAGTAGCTAGAAGCAATGCAAAATAGAACTTTACTGTCCCAACTAATACTGGTAATGATCAACATAATCATCATCAATGGTGTCGATGAATGAACACACACATGCAATAGACGGGTAGAGAATTTCAAACAAAACGAAAAAAATTTCAGATTCTCACTTGCTAATGACTTTAACCATAAACAATTATTCAGATTCTTCAGATTGTTTGAGTTTGCTCATTTCAAAATCAATAACTGATGTTCAACTGATTGAATGACAGGACAAAGTACAGGATTGGACAAGCAAAAGCAAACACATTTTGCATGATGTATCTTGACAATGTCAAATCGTTTTCGATCGAAAAGTCTTTCTATAACTTTTTTTCTTCGTTCATTCTAAAAAAATTCTGGAGTACAACTTGGCACATCAGTGATATGGCAGCTGCTGCCGCATTTGGCTGTTTTTTTTTTGTTCTTGGTTGGTTGGCCCATTCTAAGTGCATGCAAATAATGCACACAAATAGTAAGAATATTCACTGTATTTGAATGTTCGTTATATGGCCTGTAGTCGTTGTTAGAATTGTATTATTGTCGAATGATTGTGTGGTTGATTTTTTTTGAATACGAAAAAACAATTTCAAATTCAGCAAATACAAGAATCTAGATTCTAGAATTTTTTCTTCTTTCTCATTATCACAAATGTACGCCAAAAAAACAAGAATTTAAAGATGTTTGCGTAATATAAAAGAAATAATATGAAAATGAAACGAAAAACATTCCTTTTAGACATGTTTTATAATAACGATAATCAGATTTTTCTCAATTTCCATTCAAATTACATGTTAGTTACTTTCAACAACAACAAAATTTACATTAGACACATGTCTGTCTGTTTGAATGTTGTTTATCGTTTTCGTTGTGAACCATACAACACAGTGTTTAGATTCATTATTTTAAAATAAACTTGAATCTGTGTACGATATTCTCTCAAGTGAGAGAATGTTCATTTTAAGAAGTATAAACAAACCCACCCAACCCGGACAGTTGACAATCGGGCAAAAAAAAAAAAATCCTTACACAATCAGAGAATATAATTAAATGACTTACCAGTGTTTGTTTTACTGGTACAATAATCGGTTAAATATTTTTCCAATGTGAATCGTGGTAGATGAAGATTTGTGGTTATCTGGACGGGATCTTCATGTTTCCAAACGAACATTAAATCCTCGGTAGTATAGCCGTCTTTGATTATGTGAGAGTTGGAAAAAAAATTTAAAAGAATTGGTTGATTAGAAAGCCATGTTTTTTTTAGAAATTTAATTTAATTTTTTTTGTTTTGTTTTGTTCATGCAAATGCAAATGAAACAGACACACTTACAGCTTGCCATTTGTATGGAGCAAATTTGTTTGTCCAATGGATAATATTTTAAATTCATTGGACAGGCTAATACTAATGAGATTCGAATTGAATATAGGACACCGCCTTGTGGATAGATACGTAACAGTACGTTTGGCATGATTATATCGTGAAAATGGCCTTCTTTTTCATTTTTAAAAAATAGATCCGGCCTCCATACTTTGTTTGGATCCGTCAATACCAGATAACGAATTTGTCCGTTCATATTGTCAAATTTCAGTCGACTATCGACCCATTGTTCTCTGAATGTCACCTGAACTGAATATTCCTGGGTTTTTTTGCATTTTATTGTTTTTTGAATGAAGAAAAAACGAATAAAGCAAATTAGATATGAAAATAAATCCAGATTGCGATTGTTATTTTGTCTGGGCAGATATTATTGTGATAAATCAATCAATCACTTAATGAGAGGAAAGGAAAAAACAAGCTTTTTGTAAATATTAATTTTCATTTGCCTCAACCTAACATTGATTTAATTATGTAATTGGCAAGAATTAGACCAGCCACCTCCGTCAAGTTGCCGATTATAAAATGATTATTTATGGATATAAACAAACATAAGTGTAACCAAAATATTATTTTCACGATAAACTTACCATATCGAGATCACTAATTTTGCTAATACTTCTAATTAAAATATTCACAGAGATCATACTGGGTCCATCTTTGTTAAATGATTCAGTTTTTTTTTGTTCATTATGGTCACGAATAAAAGCAACAAAAATAAAATTGTGGTCAATATAAATGTGTGTAGGTTGTTGTAATTTTGTTGATTCGAATAACGAAGAAAGTCGTCCATCGTTTGATTAATCGATTTCATGTGTGTATATATATGCCAATAATAAAACCATCGAATCCGTCCGCATGTCCGTTGAGAATATGATCATCATCAATCACAATGAATGAATGTAAGGAAGTGGTGAAAGAAGATATAGTAACAGATAAATTATCATCATTTGGATTGACTGAAATTTAATTTTTTATTTTTGGAATAAAAGAAAATAATTGGCAAAGGACATCACCAATACACTTGGTCCTTGAAAAAAATCAAGAGTTTATCCTGAAAACAGCTGGCTACTGTCATTCAATGTGTTCGAGTTTGTGTGTTTGATTTAATGATGATTCATTCTATCATGATCATCGGCTGAAGACCATGTTTGAATACGATTTGATGAGAACAAGAGTGAAACTATTCAATAGCAAAATACATTCGCAAATTCGGCACGAAATATCTTGATTCAGGACATACAAGCAATGAGAAATGATAGTATTAAGGATACACAATGACAAGACAGAGACATGAGAAAGAAAATTATGAAAGAAATAAAGAAGAATCCATAGAATGTAAAAATAGGCAAACAAATCGAATTTGATCTGTGTATGTGTGTAGAAACAAATAGAAATGATCATGATCATATGTTTTAGTTGGAAAATTTTCGATTATATCACTGAAGATTATTTCATTATTTGATCAAGAGAACATGTTAAACAACCAAAAAATGATATAGAAATAGAAATTTTTATTGCTACAAAAGGACTTGTATGACATGGAGCAAATTAACATGATTATTATTAAATACGGTTTTGGTACGGACGATTAGATTAAATTAGATAGCGAAGACAGGACGGCAAACAGAGACGATGGTTTTTCTCAATTTTGAACTAACCAATACATATAATAAGGGAAGGCTAAATGATTAAGGCAAATAAAATTACGATTACGATACAAATCATCATCATCAATAACGATAACAATTCTGAATTTCTACATCGATTCTGATAATCATCAATAATAATTATTGAAATCATTATGATTATGATTATGATTAATATTTACAAAAAGCTTGGAAAATCAAGACGGACGAATAGACAGACAGACATTACAAGACGGATAGAAAGAGAAGGATAGAGACTAATTTTGGGAATGTTTTCTTCTAATAACTACTAGTAATGACAATAATAGACTTACCATGACGACATCATCGATACGAGAAATGCTTCGAATTAGTAGATTCACATTGATCATTGCTGGACCATCTGTAACATTTGTTTGTTTGTTTGTGTTGGTATCAAGCATATTTGTAAAAATATCGGAATTTAGTACGAAATAAAACAACGGAAAACAGAAAGGATGAATCGACGAAATGAATCAACAAAATAAGAACAATTTTTTCGACATTTAAAACAAGCGACGTTCGACGATTATGAAGGTTGATGATGTTGTAGGAAAAAAAATGAAGGAAAAAGAAATGGGAGAAAAATGCATCAGGCAAAAATGTATCATTCATAGAAAACATAAAAAACGCATTAATGACATGATGAATCAATCAAAATCGATTTAAAATTTATCACACAATGCAATCAGAGCCATACAATAAAGTTCATACGGCATGCAACATGCAATCGCAATATACGCACGTAGAGAACAAAGGCAACATTTGATAAAAAAAAAGACCAGAAATTCATTTCATATTTGATAATTGTTCACTCTCTGTTCTCGTCGTTTAACATTTACAGATTTTTTTGTTGTTTGTCTATCCTACGATATTCAATGCACGGTGTAATGTAATGTATGCCATATTCAATAGTGGATTCAATCTGATGAATTAAATGAATTGTGTGTTTTCCTTTCTTAATTACATTTCTTCATCTTACTTTCGCTCACTCAATCACTCTCTTTTCGGTTAAAGCCTCAATACTTCAATGATCACAATGAACGTGACTAGAATTTATTTCCTATGACTGGATAAAAATATTTTTTTCAATAAAAAAAAAAAAAATTCAACTGAAGCGATAGAGAATTTTGAAAAATCTTCCGTTCTCATATATAACCGAATTAAGGAAAATATAAAATATATATATTATTATGCTGTTTGTATGGAAAATAATTTCTTTGAAGCTTAGCTAAAAAGATAAAGCATCTATCTATAATTTATATATATTCTTCTCAGTTTTCTTATTTTTTTTTTTTTTTTTTGGCAGACATCGATCAAATACATAAGTTCTTTGCGTGATATGATGTTGTATTTCGAATTTTATTCTTTATTTTCAATTTTTTCATATATATACATGAATGTATGAACGCATTGCCCATTTGCCAATGTGTCAGTGAACATCGATTCAATGAGCCATGAGCATACACAAATACACATCTATCCATCTCCATCAATCGATGCGCATCGAAGAGATGCATCGTGTATACCAACAGATTATATAACTTGCAAAACAAAAACTGATACTATGGTCTGAGTTTGCTCAATATTCGTACACACTCTATAATAATAATAATAATTTTATATATATGTCGACTACACGGTCACAATGGAAATAGAATATGATGCCATTATCATTGATTACTATTGTCAATGAAAATGAAAATGGCAATAATTTCTCAATCGTACGAAAAAAAAACTAATTGTCTTATTCGCCTATAATCTAAAAGTAGATATCAACAATGCATCCAATAATCATATATGATCTATGAAAACAGAAAATTACATACACACAGTGAGAGAGAGAAAATGGATTAAGAATTTTCCCAATAGTGACAGTGCCAATTTTCATAAGTTTTTTTTTGTTCGTTTGACAAATACACACACACACACACATACAATCACTCAAAGTAATCAATTTCACAATGTGAAAAAGAATTCTAAGAATCTAAATTTCAATTGGAATAAAATAAAATAAATTTAAAAAGAATATCAAAATTGAACATACACACACACACACTAGGTTTTTTTTTGTTTCTAAAGCACATCATATATGTTTAAACTAAATATAAAAGTGAAATCTAATTTTTTTTTGCAAAAAGTGGAGAAATTGTAGCTCCACAAACACACGTACTACACTCAAACATATGAAAGACACACGAATAATATTGAAAATTGTACATACCTCCTCCACGGGCACCAACCGAAGCATTACCCATTGGCCGAATTCTTGAATCATAACCCTCACCAATGATTTTGTCGAGAATTCCTTTCTCCATGGCACGAATATTGGCGCTTGGACTATTTATATATGTTGATTATTATGAATGAAATGTAAAAGAACATAAGAAATGATTGGATGAAATAATAATAATGACGAATAATGGAAAACTTACTGTACTGGACAAATGAATAAATATGAGAACATCATGAATAAAAAAACGAGTTTTATGTAAATATTTGAAAGAACTTGATGAAACAATTGAATTGGCAATTTGATAGCTGATGATGGTGAAGATAATATCGGTGATGGCTGACGGAATAATGATGAAGATGATGATAATGGTGATGATGATGATAGCAATGAAGTCGAATCCATCATCATCATCGTCGTCGTATATCTAGGTGATTGAGATGAAAAAGTCCAAGTCGTTTTTACTTGGTAAACGTCGATGACATCAATGGCCGATGAAGTTTGGTCAACAACAGCATTTGTTTGTCGGATGAAATTGTTGTCGTGGTCGTCGATATTTATCGGTCGTTTTATCGGATTATTATCTTCGATAATGGTCTTTGATCTTTTCATTCTGTCATTGTCTTTGTTGTTATTCTCTGACCCGTTTCCGATTAATTTACATTGCATTGGATTGTTGATTTTATTCGCTGATTTTGCCAAATGATTATCCATCTTGTATATAAACTAGATTTGTTTCAATTTGTTCGTTTCTTGTGCTCTATTTTTTTCCAGTTGAAATAAAAAAAATGATGTTATGATTCGGTATAAATTGGTATATGTATGTGATTGACAATCAATGAATTATAATCATAACTTTCTTTCCATTGTTTTTTTTTCATACATCCGTTCATATGATCGAATCGAACGATTATAGTGGATGCATTATGTTATTGTGTTATGTATAATTAAACAACCAATCTAATCGATTCAATGAAAATAAAAATGTAGTGAACAAACACAAAAAAATACGGATTTGTGTCTATATTATATTTGAATGGAAAATCCTCGATTATTAATGTTTGTTGGATTGGTTTCAGGGCAATAGCAGAGGAAAATTTGTATCCGTTTTAGTAAAACGAAAACGAAATAGATGAGATGAAATGAAATGAAATTGGACACTATAGCTTCGTCTCAGCAGTGTCTTTTTATATATTTTTTTTCTGATGCGTTTGAATCGAATTTTTTTTTATTTATATATAGCAGCAGATTGGTGGACGAAAAGTGCACAAATTAATGATAAAATGTCGGCTTCGCTGTCATAATTCCAAGTTGATGTTGATCATCAAATTGTCGAATCGGAGAAATAGTGAAAATAATTATAAATTGTACAGCATATGTTTGTTCTTTTTTTTTTTATTTGTGATGTTGGTCTGTCATTTTTTTTCAGAATCGATTCTATTTTTGTTGCAAAAAAATAAATGAAAAATTTTGTCAAAGTGTAAAAAAATTGTCAAATTTTTGAATTGAGTATATTGATTTGGACGTTCAGTTTGATGTATGTTTTGTGTGTTTGTGTGTGTGAAAAAAAATTATCACAAAAAAATCAACAACAGCAAAAAAAAATGAATGAATGAATGACAAGAAAGATAGAACAGAATTTTCAATTTTGTTGCTGTATAATAACTGACTTAATATCTTCAACAAACAGTATTGCTGTGGACAGTTTTACTGGATGATGTTTGATGATAGTAGATTGAATCATATATATATCATTTAATATTGAGCTTTAATTAATGTCTATGCAAGGAAAATAATGAGAAAAAAATGTGAAATAATCATCACACAAAAAGAACTAATAATGTATTTAAGTTATGTCACTAAATTGTGCTGCAGTATAAATTGGGCACTTTTTGGACTATTTTTGATTGTATTCTTTCAAGTTTATTTTTTTTTTTTGAATTTCAATTTGCTATGTTTGGCATTTGTAGTATTTGTGTCGTTATTGTTGATGTATTATGGTTATTATTATAACCAAAGTGAAATTTTAGCTGAAAAAATGAATGAAAAACAAAAATGAAATATTTCATTTTGATTTAATCAACAAATAAAAGAATACAATGAATTTTCTCTCTCTCTCTCTCTCTCTTTCACAAATTTCAGTGGAGTTAATTTATTTTGCAAAAAAAAATTAATTTTTCGAATACAGAATACATTAATTTATTCTTCATTCATGGTTCACTATTTCAAGTAGAATGATGGATATTTTCTTCTCTTCATTTCCTTTACTATCGACTATAATAATGTAAATTCATAAACCATGAGAGACTATAATGATGATGATAATAAAATGCAAAAAAAAGGAAATGATTTTTTCTTGCATCAGACCTGTCATTATAATATAATAGTGCTTTTGTGCTTGAGTTTGGCAAAAATCGGATATGAAAATGACCGGTACTAACACTGATATGAATGTGAATGAAAAAAAATTTCATTTCGATATAAATCTACAAATAAACTTGACAGTTGGAAATTTCTGCCTTCTTTATTTTCCATCATAATAATAATCATCATCATGGAATAAAATAAAAACTTTGAACACCATAATAATCAGGTTACTAGGCAATGACCAAATGATCGATCAACATACACACACACACACACACACACAAACACAGAAACAAGAATTCGCGCGTAAATTTTTTTCAACATGTTTTTTTTTGGTTTTTTTTATGGGAAAAAAATTCAGACTTACCACTCTTGGTTTTAGTGTTTTTTTTTTATTAAAAAAATGGTGATTTCAATAACAACACATTCATAACAAAGAACATAACAATTTGAAATGGGTTATGTGACAATAATAATAATGATAACGGAAGCAAAAATGATTGAGAAAAAACAATGAAATGATAAAATACATTAATAAAATGAAAAATTTACGCCATCCATCAGCATTATATCTTTTTTTGATTCTTGATGTGCTGCTGCTGTTGTTGTTGTTGTTGTTGAGAATCAAATCAACAAAAATACGATAAAAGTCTATTGTTGTTATTTTGAGTGATGGCAATAATCAAAATGTCTTTTCATTTCATGTTTTTTTTTCATCTTTAAATGGTGGATGAATATATAGTTTTTTGATGAAATTTAACAATGATATTCAACAATGAAAACTAAACAAAAACGGTAAGCATCGTCATCATCATAATTTTGTCTATGTGATGACAAACGACGATGATACGACAACCGAAAACGAACGCAAACGAAATCAAATAGAAACGACAACAATGATTTCATAAAATAAGAAGCTTTTCACAATCCATCGACCGTTTTTTCATGTTGTTTTTCTTCCGATTTCTGCTATTGAAAAAAAATGTTGCATCCAACCATACTGGTTTATCATACACAAAAGTGCAAAAAAAACCAAAATTTTTGTGCACGCTCACATTGTTCTGAATTTCCGAGCAGAATCCAAAACGGTAAAACAAAAAAAAAATGCCTGCAGAACATGGTTGAATGGAAGCAGCATTACTAGATAATATGATCGGTTGAATTTTATTTGATGATATAGTCATATCATACAACAACAAACTAGCAGCAATGAACATCAATTCATATACAGTTCCCATAAAACATTTGTGTGATATTGAATTTTATATTCCTATTCAACATCGACAAATGTTCTTATGATGGCTAAATATTGGCGAGAAAAACTGTCGAAAACTTCCATTTTCAAATAAAAGAATGAATTTCGTCTCTTTTCGGTGGCCAGAAATGGGAACCAAAAGAAAAAACATTCAGCATCTCTCGATTCATTTTAGTATTGATTGCATCCAATCAACTATGGATGTGGCGAAGAAGATTGTATCCGTGCAGAGAAGAGAAACAGAAACAAAACAGCCTGATACCGACGATCAAGCTGTGAAAAAATATTGATCATGTTTAATGATGATATAATTTTTCTCAAAAAAACAAATCATAAACAGAAATCAAAATCCGATAACAAAAAATATCGGCAAGACATTTCTATACAATTCATAAATTGGCCGATTCTTTGTTATTATTGTCATTATTGAAATTGGAAATTGATTTGACGAACATATAATATAGAGATCAATTTCGGATCAAGTTCATGCCAAGTTTTTCTTTAATCATGTATTGAAGATGATGTTGAATAAAATCCATAATGATGGAACTTGATTCTGTCTTTACTCCTCTTTTTCGAAAATGAAATTAAAATGATGGAAGCATACAAAACGATGTTCGATAATTGTCAGAGAACTATGCTACAGAATGCAACTATATTGGTCTTTTCTTCTTGTTTCCCCTACCAAACTAGAATCAGAATTGTACATGAGTGGTGGTGCATTGTTGTTGTATTGTTATTATATCATCAACAAAAAAAATGGGAATTCTGGATCTCATCGTTTTTCGATTCTGCTCTTTGTCCCATCTAAACTATATGTGACCGAATCAGGATAAGAGACCAAACAAAGCAATGCACACATAGGGCACAAACTCAAAGTAGAAAAGAAAAAACCTAAAATCTAGGCCATCGGACAAAAGGCACTTAATACATCGCCATTTATTTCGCTATATAAACGTAGCAGCCATCATCATCGTTATTGCACATACAAAAGACAGGCCAAATAATATGGATCACAAAATTTTCGTTCGTTTTCTGTTCGACAATAATAATAATAATAATATCGTTATTTTGATCTTTGAAATCCAAGGATTCTTTTCCATTTTCCTCAATACATTTTTATTCAGACACTGTAATAATGTACAAGGCCAAAATGTTTTATATTCATCTTCTCAACATTAGCCAAAATTTTTTATTATTATTATTATACGATACCTTTTTTTGTTAGTTATTTCTTCTGTTTCAGAAGCGAAGAACCATGGAAAAAAATCAAAATTATAGAACTGTATTCAAATGTATGTGTGTGTGTGTGTGTGTGTGTCTGCAAAAAAAAACTCATACTATTCATTGAGAGCAATTCATTAAAATTTAATGTAATGTAAAATAGTCACATATTTATTCATTATCTGGCCATCACGATCATCATTTTTTTTGGCAATAAAAAAAATCATGACTATGATTATGAATCCAAAAAAAAGTAATGACTAACAATTAATTGAGAAAAAAAATGAAAAATTCTTTATTGTAATATATAGAATGTAAAATGTATAAATTTCGGCATTTTATTCACACAAACAGAAAAGAAAGTTACAAAATCACTTAATTTAATCTATTTTATTGTTATTCTCGTAAATTTTCCATAAAATTTGCCCACCTTGATCTTACAAAAAAAACAGAAAAAGTGAACCGTGTCAAATTTCAGAATGAAAATCCCAATTCTATTCAAATATCAGTCATTGACATAATGCGTTTATTCTTTGATCGAAAGTCAGAGAAAAAGTGGACAGAAAATCAACCTTCATTAGTTGAGTAAATATTTACACGCTATATGTCTATGGAAAATAAAAATAAAAAAATTTCAGCATTTTCTCTTCTAATTGATGATGAATAACTTTGTGGCTTGACTCGAGCATTGAAAATAACCCCATTCATTTGTTGAATTTTCAATTTTAAACACTGGAAGATTTCGTACACTAGGAATACAACCAACATGATTTGATTTTAATGGAATTAAAGAAATCTAATGATTCAGGTATATGAATCCATCTTATCTGTTCAATTTGTTTTATTCATTTCGAACAAAAAATAATCCATCAATCGATTGCGAATGCGCCATTATTAAACGATTGAATTTAATTCAGATTAATCTCGGTAAACGACGACCGGGAACCGAAAAAAAACAACGTAAAATGACTGCTACTAATGAAAATTGACACGCATTCAGACTATTAAAGGTGTTACAGCAGCAGCAGCAGCACCACCACCACCACCACCAATACCATCACCATTAGTTAGTTTGATCCGATTCATAATAAAACGGACATAAACCATTGAACGATTCAGGATATATCCAAGGATAAATGAAATGAATTAGAATAAAGTTGTCAGAAGAAGTATTTTGTTTGTTTTTGTGTGTGTATGTGTCTGTTTATGAATCTTGAAGATCGGATTATTATGTTGTTGGACAAATTTTCTTTTTGTTTTGTTTTGTTTTGTTCTATAGAATAGAGTGAATCAACAAATACAAACACACATTCACATTTGAAACATAAACGGAACGTTCTTTTGATTAGTCATCGTTTTTTTTTGTTAGAAAAATAAACACAACAATAAAATGGTCTGAAAAAATGTAACAACAAATGCAACTAGACACTATATATATAATGATGTGTTTGGCAAAGAATGTATATAATTATCTGGAAAAAAAAAATTTCAAATCAACATCATAAACACAATGAAATGTTTGGTAATGAAGAGAGGATAACACAAACAACATAAAAAAAAATAAAATATTGCTCTGTATACGCAGATGATGAACTACTAAAATACTAAACTATGATGATGATTATTATTACAATAAACGTCAAAAACATTCATATATAAAGTTTATTTATAATATAAACTGTTATATATAATCAAAGCATCAGCCGTTATTTCAGATTCCAATATTACGTATGTATCAATTAGTATTTCATTCATTTACAACACATCATCATTATATAATGCACACACACATTGGACTAATAATTGCAATCAATCTGGTCAAATTATCAAAAATGTGGAGGTTTGATTCTATGTGGTAAGAAAGTGAAAACCGATAGACTCATAAATCAATCAATTTTCAATATTTATTCGTGAAATAATGTTTATTCGAAACAGTAAAATTTCAATAAATGGATGCAAAAAAAAGATTAGTTGATGACAAAAAAAAATGATGATATAGACTTAATGATAAATGGAATTGATTCACATTATAAACAATCGTGTTCGTACAAATTTTATAAAACAAAAAACAAAAAGAAACAGAGAGATTGAAATCATTTTAAAGATTTTGCTGTAAGTAATGTATCAATGTTGCTTCAAAATGTTCGGCACTGTTGATTTTTTTCAGGCTATGACGTTCGTATGGGTAAATCTAAAGAAAAAGTGAAATCTTTTAATAGAAAAAAAATCAAAGGTAATGAATAGGCACACTTACACTTAATTGATATGGTTTACCGGCCATCACCAAACCTTGAATCAATTGTGCCGTATGACAGAAATGAACATTTTCGTCCATTAGACCATGAATTATTAGCAAACGATTATATCTAAAAAAGACAAGCACAATTAAAGACATAATCATCATCATCATCATCATCATTAATTTTCATACTCGTTGGGAAAGTGTTTGATATAGCTAAGAATGCTACTTCGTTGGTAGTTTTCCGCATTTTCAGACGGCAACCCCATGTATCTTTCTGTATATCCTGTATCATATAGTAACCAGTTGGTAACCGGTGCACCAGCTATTGCACATTTGAATATGTCTGGCCGTTTAACTAAAGCCATCAATGATAGATAGCCACCGAATGACCAGCCATGAATGGCCACACGATTCATATCGATAAAACCCGTATTATCAGCTAACCATTGCAATGCTTCCACTTGATCATCAATTTCAACTTGTCCCAGACGTTTATAAATATGTTTCTCAAATTCAACACCACGATGTTTTGATCCCCGAGAATCAAAACCAACGACAACATAACCTTCCGATGCAATCAAATGTCTTCGGTGGTATCTCAGATCTGTTTAGATGATTCAAATCATATAAAATGATGATAACGTGATCATTAATACAACAAACCTTTGAAAGATTTCGTAACTAATTGCACTTCAGGACCTCCATATATTTCCAATAGAACGGGATATTTGAAACCAGGTTCCATGAATTCCGGTTTGAAAAGAAATCCATAAATTAATTCACCGCTTCGTAGTTTACATTCGAATAAATGTGGAGTCGGGCCTAATATTTGCACTTTTTCATAATATTCCATAGAATCCTCTACTTTGATATCATCGGGAAGATTTAGAAACATATATTGCGGTTCCAGGTTGATATTCAAAGGATTATCCACCGGTGCAACCACTTTATGTAGATAACCAAATGGTGGAATCGATACATTTGATTGGAAATCGATACAGAATCTGAATTTAGGATCAAACACGATTTTGGTATGGGTAAAATCTTCTTTTGAAAGACGTCTAGGTGCAATTCGAGATGATTGTGATGATGATATGACATACAAATGATTCTCAAGTGGACTATCGCGTGTTCCCAGAAAAAATATCAAATCATTTTGTTCATCCACCCAGTACATTGACTCGGATACTTCCCAATTGCCATAGGTCAATTGACGATTCTCCAATAACTCGGCTTTCAGTTCATGATTAGATAATTGATTTCTAGTTTCTTGATTCATTCTTTCTATGTGTTTTTCATCGTTAACAAACGAATCATCATTATCCAGTTGGATTTTCTCAGGAAAATTGGCAATCTCAACGGAAATTTTGTACAGATGACGAAAACCAGTCACTTCGGATGACCATAAAAATTCCACTTTACTTCCTACCATTATAACATCGTAATCACCATCACCATTGTCATTTTCATTGTCAGTAAGATTCGGAATCGCAATCATATTGCCATCGCTTTTATCATTTTCGAGAGGTTTATTTTTTAAAAAATATAAAATCTCGTGACAATTGTACCAATGATCACGATGCGATTCAGTATGGATAATTTGCGGTGGGAATCGGTTCGAAATTGAATATAAGACAATAGCCATATGATTCTGCTGACGATTCAAGAGCTGTGCCCATATGACATCATCATTCAACCAATCACATCGCGTTAAATACTCATATTCACGATATATTGATTCCAATCTGATATGCAAATCTTCAATTTTCAATAATCGTAGTTGTCGATCTTTCGATCGACCTAATGAATTGATAAAGGCAAAATGAACAAGCTTCAATGTGGATTTAGCGTTAGTTGAACCTAGAGGAATAATAAATTTAATATTAATCATGCAGGAAAAATAAACGGATTTGAGTTACCAGGTTTTGGAAAACGATGGACTTCATCCATGCTACCCCAGCCTGAAATCGATATACGTTCCACGACCGATTCATCAACAAATTCACATAGAATCGTATAAACATTTTGATAGATTTGATCTGAATTAAAAATTAGGAAAATATTAGTTAATTAACGATTGATAAGAATTGTCATTAAATACAAGATGGTCTCCACCAAAATCCAATGTATCGAGAAAATTCTTCTTGCATCACAAATGAAGGTCGACCGGCCATAATGGCCGTTTTTGTATAGTTTGTGTTGGTTAAACGGATTTCTGATCCCGAAATCAGGTCACAAACCCAGAGATCATTATCAGCAGTATAGGCAACTAAATCCGGTTTATAAGGACAAATTGTTGCATTCAATTTAATATAATCATTATTAATCAATTTTTGCGGTATATATGGCGGAAAAAGATTTGTTGTATTTCTCACTTCAGACCGATTGTTTTGTTCCTTCATTTCAGATAAATGATTAGCCCCGTTTATCGCAATATCATCAAACCAATAGATTGCATTTTTCATGGTGAAAACAAATCTCGCCATTTTCGGATGAAAATCATAGGAAAAAATTCCATTCAAAATTATTCGTTTACGCTGTAGTATTAGATCCTCTTCATGTGAACTTGTCGATGATTGTTGCACTGTTTCATGGGTTGATTTTTCATTATTAGTTTGCTGCTGAGTATATGGTTCAAGATTGATCAATTCATCCAGATTAGTGATCAATGGTTTCCATTCGATCGTTTCCAGATTGGAAATCGATGATGTAGGCGATGAAATGGATTTATGTAACAATGATGTGTTCATATAAGATTCATTCGAATTAGATGATGATAGCGATTGCGTCGATAAGGTCATCGAAGTAGGAGAACCGGAACTGTTATAAATTAAAGTTTTTATGTTAATTGATTTCAATTGCAAATAATCGTCATCGTACCTGGCATTATTATCTAAATCTAGGTCACAATCGGCAATATCAATATTTGTTTCGGAGTTTGATCTGCTTCTAACTTCATTGTTGGTTTTTTGTTGGTAATATGATGATGATGATGATGATGAATTTTGCAGTAATTGTGGATTTTGCTCTTGCTGCTGTTGTTGTTTATGTTCGATATCAATAGGAAAATCAGCTTGGTCAGATTCATCACCGATAAAATCTAATAAAACTTCATTGGTATAAGTGGTTGAATTTTTGAGCAAATCAACATCACAGTAATAAAGGGTTGTTTCCAATGAATTAATCGATGCTAGAAAATAGATTCGAAGCTTTTCACGTTTGGAATCATAACCGAAATTGAAATCAAACGGTAAAGATGGACAAATGGATGTATATTTTTTTCTCGCCTCACGCACTGACGCACAGATCTGTTCCCAAGATTTTATGTTTTTTCCTAGATAAAAAGCTAATTTCATTCAATGAATTTTATTGATCAATTCAACACAAGATACATACGCATAAAATCACTGATTGATGGGAAATTAATGTTTGGCATCGAAGGCATCGAAATGTTTGGCATTGAAAGATTTGGCATCGAAGGCATAGACGGCATGGTCAATGTTGGCATGGATGGCAAATTAGGCATTGTTATATTCGGCATCGATGGCATCGGTACGGAGGTAAAATAATCCGGCAATGAAGGCATATTCAATGCTGACATTTGTAATGCATTCTTCCATGATTGACTAAGGTAATTATTAGCTGATGGAGGTTGTTGTGAATCTTCATTAATTATGAATGGTATTGAACTGTTGGTAGGTATATTTTGATGATAATTGTTACGATTATTGTTCCTTGAACTTGTTGACGGTAATTGCAAATTGATTTGCGAAGAGTTAGCAGGAGAATATTGTCGCTGAATCGGTATAGATTGCCTGGCCTGATGATTAATCAATTCATTTTGATCTAGATGATGGCCATCATTATTGGAATTTAATTTTTTATCCATATTGGCAATATTATTGTTTCATCATTATACATTTATTATATCATCGATTCTGGTTGATTTATTTCTTTCTTTATTTACATACTTAGTTACATACAAACGACATATGGACTAGAAGATGTTATTATTATGCAAGTAATGAGATATAATAATCTCATAATTTCTGACACATCATTGTGGTGAGAAAAAGAAATTTTTTTCTACTACGTGTCTCAAACTTGATTTTTTTTTGAATCGCAATCAGATTTTTCTCATTAACATAGTCGATCAGTATACGATACACGTAACGAACTTAGCTGATTGAATGAAAAATAAATTGCAATACCGATGATGATGATAAGTGCCAAAATATAAAACAATTTTTAAAGAAACAAAAATCCTAACCAAGACAACCAGGGAGAAAAAAACGTAGTTGGATATATATCCAAACAATAACAATAACATGTGATCTTGACACATTCATAGAGTTCATTATATTTTTATATTCCAAAAATCAAAACTTACCAGTGTCCAACATTCTGAACACTTGAATTTCGATTTTTTGATTTAATTTTATATTTCAAAAATTGTAAACAACAAAATTTTAGTTCTTAAAGAAGAAGTTTTTTCATCATTTTATTAAAATTTTCTTAAAAATGTTTTTGATGAACGGATTATTGCGTTACGATGATTGTATTTTTTCAGCAAAACAAAAAAAAAACTGATGAATCCTGTTTTTTTTTGTACAGATGATTATAATTTTATTATGGTTTTTGTATGATTTCCGTTTCTGGTAATTTTAATACAATTGATTTTTGTCTTCGTTGTTGTTGTCGTTTATGGTTATGATGATGATGCTCATTAAGTGTGGTCGATTTTCTTAGATTCCGTTTCAACGCTGATGATGAGGAGGATGGTTTTGTTTCCGTTATCGATCTATTGTTCAATTGTTCATTGGCTATATTTTCCATTTCAATTTCCGTATTGAAAATTAATGGTTTTTTTATTGTTGTCACTGTCAATTCATTTGTTTTATCATTTTGTTGACGTTTTATCGATGATGATGATGATGATCTAGCATTTATCTGATCCATTCTACAATTTCTGGGAAGTTGTTGTTCATCATCTTTATATTCCATACGTTTAGCATAGATAAATATCAATATGAATGGAATGGCAACAATGCATAATAATGAAATGAATGCAATCCATCCGAATTGTCGATAAATGACGACCAAAAATATTGATAAAAATACCAACGATATGAATGTTAACAATAGCCTGGTACGATGTTCGGCCAGATAACAACATAATTGATTAAATTTGTTACCTCGATTATTATCCACGGCTGTTGATGATAATGAACACGAACGTCGTGCTACACCGCGATAATTTGATGGTAATGATTTTTGATCATTCATTGGCCAATCTCTTGGACAAACAGTATTGTATGGAGAATCGTCGTCACAACAATGATCATGGATATTTGATTTGAATGATTCTACTGTTTGTGGAAGATTTCGCATTATCGTTGTTGATCCAAACAACAAACAAGTAGTAGCAATAATGGAAGTAGATTGTATTGTTCAACAAAAACAACAACAACAACAACAATATGAATATAATAAAGCCATTTTCATCACATTATCAATTCCAACACCATTTTGAATAACAGATTTATATTTATTTATTCACAACCGAAAAACCAATGATAAGTATACTGGATTCTTTATTTTTTTTTGTTTGTTTGGATATCGTGATAACGAAATAAACACCAAAATACACAATATTTTTTTCTGACAAATAAAAATTAGCCTTTGTAAAAAGGCAGCAGATATACATTCATTAAATAAATTACTTGATTATCATAAAAAAAACCACATATAAAAATGTTGGATATTGCACAGACACACACATGAAATGTAGGAAAAAACCATGTTTTAATAATCTTGTGATTGTGGTTCGAAAACAAAGACAGGAATTTTTTTTCATTCATATTCAATTTTTCAACAACAACAACAACAACCACAAAAACTAGGTTCGGTTCTAGAACCACAATCAATCGAATGGGATGTTGTTGGTTGAGTGAAAAACATTTTTTTCATTTTTACAAAATCATTTTATTTCATTTTCAAAAAGCCATGAAACAAGAATAATAAACAAACAGACAAAAAAGAAAAAGAATAAAGACCTCGCCTTAATCATAACAAACCGAAAAATAAATATAAGTACACTTCATGTTTGTGGTGACAATATGTGAATGAAGAATTCGTGAACCATAACTATAAAATGGATGGATGATCCATTTTAGCAAGCGAAACTAAAATATAATCGAACAGAAAATAACCGATCACCAGAAAAACATTGGGAAGAATATAGAGATTATTATTACAACGTGTATAAGGGGTACCGCCTATAGTAATGTCTACCAATGACTAATAATCTGACATTTGATCAATTTGAAATTGACAAGTATGGTAACTGAGATTCTACTCACGGCGTCCTCGTGAATTGTACTAAATTTATCTTTGTCGTATATCTTCAATAGCCGTCACACATACTAAATTAACTGGAAAAAAAATTTATGAAATGATTCTGTTTTCGTAATTCACCTAGCTTGTTTTATGAAAAAAAAAATGTCTATAGATAACGATAGTGAACATTAAAAAAAAATGAAAGAGAAAAAGAAATTAAATCAAACGTCAAACGAATGATATTCTGAAAATCACAATGTGTTACTCAACTATAGACATAATTTGACAAGAAAAATATAAATGGTTGCAAAAGAGAGGAATGACAAACACACGAATTATGGACAGATTTTTTATTTATAATACTCATTGTATCTGGATCATTTTTATTCTGGCCCAGAATAAATTAAAAGCAATAAATATGGGCAAGATAAAATTGTCCTTGGAATATTCATGTGCTTGTGTAATGTTTTAAATGAAATGAAATGATGAAATGATTGTAATCAAAATAATAATAAACAGCATGCAATAATATTTTATCTAGATTTTTCATGTTGCAACAACAATCATCATCCAGTGTTTTCTCTCTCTCTCTCAGTCATCATTGTTAAACAATTGTAGCTCATTTGAATGAATGGAATTATCAATGATTAATCCGGTGGTCATTATCCGATATGATAATTATCGTCATACGTTCGTTCTTATCAAAAACAAAACAAAAACAAAAACATTCGTCATAATTCATTCTGTAAATTATATTTAACTCAAGCAATGGAAACCTAGATGGCAATACTTTCGATATTCATTCAAGAATCCAGTTTTGTTTTGCTTTGTTTAGCTGTGAATGATTGAATATTATCATCATTTCAGTTTGTTTTTTTTATGTGTTGATGCCAACAATCTTGACTGACCGGTCCTCGATGGTAGACTTCCATCATCACCATATCATGACCTTTTCATTGAAATATGATTTCGTGTTGTTGTTGTTACTGTTCGATTAGTTGAAAAGTGATGTATGTTGTTTGGGTTTTTTTTTGTCTAAATTCAAAAACATTTCATAATGACCAATATTAAACAATCATATTCAAATACAACAATATCCACACCGGTGAAAGAAAATCTGTCAAATACGAATCCGTTATCTGCCCGATTTCATTTTGAATGGTGGCTTTGTTTTTCGATTATCAGCGTGTTGGCATTCGTAACAAGATTCTATAAAATAGCCGAACCTAATCATGTTTGGTACGATAAAGGACATGATTTTTTATGAATTTTTTAACAACATTTCTATTGTATCGTTTTAGCTGGGATGAAACGCATTTTGGTAAGATGGCAAGTTGGTACATTAATCATACCTTCTTTTTCGATGTTCATCCACCATTAGGAAAGGTAAGTGGTCTGCATGAAACATGTTGCATTTAATTACATTTCGAACATCTTTTATTGTTTGCGATAGATGCTCATAGCATTAGCTGGCCACTGGACGGGATATAATGGGACATTTCCTTTTAATAAACCGGGTGATAGTTATGGTGATTATCCAATACTTGGAATGAGAATTTTCTGCGCAGCACTGGGCACAATGATTGTTCCATGTTCATTTGTAATCGTTTGGAATCTATCTCGATCACTACCAGCATCGATAATGGCATCAACTCTATTACTATTTGGTATGACGAGAATTTTTTCTTTTTCATAAACTTTCTTTGAATTTCTGCAACTTTCTTATCAAATAGATATCGGAATGATTATTTTGTCCCAATATATTTTATTGGATCCGGTTTTAATGTGTTTTATTATCTGTTCAACGATGGGTATGACAATGTTTCATTCATATGCTGATCGTCCATTTCAAAAACCTTGGTGGTTTTGGCTCAGTTGGTCAGGATTCTTTTTAGCTTGTGCCATGAGGTAAAAAATTGACCAACAAAAATCAAAATGAATGAATTTATTTATTCCCGTTAAAATAGTGTCAAATTCGTTGGATTATTTGTCGTATTATTGGTCGGTATATTCACCATCAATGATTTATGGAACATTTATGGTGATTTGAATAATTCGATTCCGTTGGTTATGAAACATTTTCTGGCAAGAGTATTATGTTTGATCATACTTCCAATTATTGTTTACGTTTCATTTTTCTGGTGTCATTTGACCGTGCTAAATCGAAGCGGTAGTGGTGATGGTTTCTATAGTTCAGCATTTCAATCAACACTGGAAGGTAATTCATTGTATAACGCGTCAATGCCACAATATGTTGCATATGGTGCTTCGCTAACAATCAAAAATCACCGAACCGGTGGTGCATATCTCCACTCACATTGGCATCTTTATCCGGAAGGTGTTGGTGCTCGTCAACAACAGGTGACCACTTATTCACATAAAGATGATAACAACAAATGGCGTATCAAAAAATATAATGAAGAAAGCTCGGAAAATGCTGAACCTATCGAATATGTCAAGAATGGTGATCTGATTCGCCTGGAACATCTGGTTACTGAACGAAACCTTCATAGCCATAATGAAATAGCTCCGATTACGAAAAAACATTTTCAAGTTACGTGTTATGGTGAGAAAGGAGTCGGTGACGCGAATGATGTTTTTCGTATTGAATTCGAAACGGGTAATACCGGGCAGCCATTAGAAGCTGTGAAAACAAGATTTAAATTGATTCATTATTTAATGAATTGTGCCATTTATTCGCATAATAAACAACTACCAAAATGGGCATTCGAACAACTTGAAGTAACATGTACGCCTAATGTTTTCGATACAAAGAATACTCTTTGGAATGTTGAGGATAATCATTTTGCACGTCTTCCAAACGTTAGCGTTAACGTTTATGCTCCATCATTTTTGGAGAAATTTCTTGAATCTCATGCTGTGATGTTACAAGGAAACTCGGGTTTGAAACCAAAAGAAGGTGAAATAACATCTCGTCCATGGCAATGGCCTATTAATTATCGGGTATGATGATAATTGTTTTGATGAAATTCATGGTTTGAATGATTCATATATTTCAGGGACAATTTTTCTCCGGTAATGATTATAAAATATATCTACTTGGCAATCCAATCATCTGGTGGCTCAACTTGTTGATGTTATTTTTCTATCCATTTATCGTATTGATCATCGTCATACGACGCAAACGATGCTGTGATGAAATTCCATTGATCGAGAAAGAAAACCAAAGATTTTTGTCCGCATCCATTTGGATATTCATCGGTTGGTGTCTACATTATTTTCCGTTCTATGCAATGGGTCGTGTCCTATATTTTCATCACTATTTTCCTGCTGCGATATTCAGCTCAATGTTGACGGCCATTATTCTTGATTATCTATTTAATACATTGCCCATATTGATGTTGTATATTGTATACCATCGAAAGTCAACAGCCGAAATCATTGACCCCCGTTATCAGAGCGCTCGGCTAGTATTTCATTTTATATACGGTACATTCATATCAGCGATTGCATATAGTTTTTATCTATTCTCACCATTGGCTTATGGCATAATACGATTACTTACATCTGTTACCAGTACAGGTAATAGTTCTACTGGTTCATCCATAATCATAGCGGCAGGAGCAGCAATTGGTTCTAAAAGTACATTATCCACCGATGATTTGAATGCTGATCATATTGATTATAGTAGTGAACAACAGATGAAAAGCCTTCGTTGGATGGATTCCTGGGAATTTTGATTATTAATATGACTATGATGATGATTATGAACATGTTTATTATGGAATATCACGCTCAAGCTGAATAAAAATGTTTGAACTCAAATCATCATTAATTAATCAATTGAAGCGAATATGAATGGAGAATCATTTTTTTTATTTAAATATATTTTTGTGACAAATAAAATGAATTTTTTTTTTTGAGATTTATTTTATATAACAAAGAAAACCAAAACGGATTTGGCCAGTGATTTTAATGAATGTTGACTATGTTTTTTTTTTTTTTTGTAGATTTCAATGGTGAGTACAGTCATGTGGGTGTGTGATAATGAATTTACAAGGTAAGAATTTTCTTTTTACATAATAAAATCATATCATCATTAATGATGATGAAAGAGAAAAACGATATCACTAAAGAGAGCATAACACAACAGGCAAATAGGCGTACGATCCACCAAACACCAACCAATTGAACCATATGAGAGTGAATGTAGGTAGTGTTTCATTTTATGATGATTTCAACAATTTAATTATAAATTAAGGCTAATTAAAACATCATCATTAAATGGACAATGATTGATTGAATAGGGATGTTTATTAATGATGCATATTCAAGAATTTAGTGTTTATGTATCAGGGTTGATGATGAGTGGTGTGTATGAAAATGAAAATCCATTTTCATTGTTCGATGAAATTAATTGATTTCAGATTTAAATTTGATATATATATCACCATGTACAATTGACATAAGGCAAGATATGCAAAATATTCTCTTCCGTTTGATAATTTTCATCGCCGCCGGTCAATACGTATGATGATGTCATTTCGCTAAAATCATGCCAAACACCGTCTTTATCATAATTACCGTTGAATCCTTCCCATTGCTCATTAGCTAAACGATCAATCAATGTTACTATTCGCTTTTGTTCATCATCATTTGAGCTTGATTGCCGTTGTTGTTGAGGTTTACGCCGCCTTTTTCTTATTATTAATTTGACCAGTTTTTTCTTTGATTCGCCATCATCATCATTATTATTTGTAGAATTAATACTATTTTCTTGTTGGTCAAACAATGATGATTGTCGTTCATCACCATCACCATCGTAATGATCATCGTGAAAAGATTTCTCTTCATCAACGATGTTGTTATCACAATTGGAAATATCACACTTTGAATTGTTTGTTTGATATAGAAAGCTCGTTTCTTTATCATTGTTGTTGGGAGATGATGATGATGATGATGTGACAGTTTGTTGTCTATCTTGTTCACCAACTTCATATTCTTCGATAAATTCTTCATCATCTGCTTCAGTCGTTTGCTGCAGTTGTTCGGTTGTTTCATTCTCTGCATTGATGATATCATCATCATTATCAAAACAGAATTGTTGCATGAATTTTAAATCCTCAGGATTCACTTTTGGTAATTTAGAATAAATATCCCGAATTTCTTGATCGATTTTTTGTGCATGATTAAAAAGCCGATCAAATTCTCGACTCTTAGACGATGAGAAATTCGAATCATGTGATGATTTTTTCGATTTCGTTGTTATATTTGCATCAACTTCATCATCATCATAATCATCATTTGAATCTTCGTCATCCTCATCTTCATCACCAGCATATAAATCACAGAATTTCGATGAATCAGGTGAGATCGAATTCTCACGGACATCTTCATCATCATCATCATCAACTACATTATGAGAACGGCGAACTTGGATCAATTTGTTATGCAGAATGGTTTTATCAAAACTGTCCAATGAGTTCTCTTCGGAATGGAAACCATTACGTTTTTTATGATATCCATTACGATAATAAGTATTGCTATTGCTATTGGTAATATTAATTTTTTTCAAATCTAAACTAGAGTCTTTGGTCAATAATGGTGGTATACAGGGTGACGATGATGCCGAGAATGACGATGTTTTTAGATCATTATGTTTCTTTAGAATTTTCGGTGATAGATTTACATTTAATTTTTCAATCAATTCTTGAGTTGATTGTGGTCTTCGACCGCCATAGCTCATGACATAATTGAAATTTTCTCTTAAAGAATCATTTTCATTCTCTTCCAATTTTCGTTTACGATATGTTCGTTTCGAACTTGAACATTCATCTGATTTAGCTGAACAATCATTGCTTAGATTCGATAATTGTGATGAATTACTATCATCATCATGGAAATCAAAATTCGACGATCCATGTTGATTTGAATAGGAATTTTTGTGGTTATTATGGCCAAATGAATCTCGGGAATCATTAGAAAAGGTGTTTGGACTACAATGTTGTGAGGAAATTGCCGAATCTGAATAGGCCTGAATAGGTGGTGTAGTTCGACGACGATATTCGGCTTTAAGTGAAACTGTTGTTTCTTTCGTGAATAGATTTTTGAAATTTTGTATACCAGGACTACTAATACCATTTGTGAATGGTGGTGGCGTTAGATTCGATTTCTTAATCTGCTGCTGATGGCTCTTCAACGATGGACTTTTGTGACCATTGGTCGATTCCGTAGCGTTTTTTGGACTAGCAATTTGTTGAGTTTGAGTTTGTGGACGGACCGAAACATTTAATCTACTGTGATTGATACTATTACTTGGCGACACTGTCGGTGATAATGAACGACCGTAAATTTTTGATTCTAAACAGGAAAAAACCAAATATTAATCATTGGAAATTTCAAATATTCAAAATTAAAAAATTACTCTCGTTTAATGTTGTTAGTGATCCATGTTGAGTTTTTACCCGTAACAGGGCCGGATGTTGATTACTACTTGGCGGCGGTGTAAGCTTTGAATCATAATATGCTTTAACTGATCCATGTGGACTTATGGAATTTGAATTGAATGGACTGGTCAGTGTTGAAATATTATTACTCGATGTTGAATGATTGCTGCCACCAACGGTTAAATCACGCCATGTTTTTATTAATTTTTTGGCTCTTTTGGCCAATTCTTTATCGGTAGTCTTTTTACGTAGACCATTGATGTATTTACCTAATCTTGTTATCTGTAGTTTATTTGGTCATTATTTCAATTGTAAAAAAAATAACGATAATTCAATACAGCGACAACAACAATGGTAGGATAACCAACCTCCAAATCTTCCCGGGTAACATGTGTACGTTCAAGTATGGATATGATTCGATTGACTTCATTGATGTCTTTTACCTATGCGTATGAAAATTAACAATAACCAATTCATTAGATCGGATCGATCATCAATTCATTTATTAAGATTATTATTAGTTGACAGCAAAAAGTAAAACAGATAAATTTTTATCAATTTTAGAATTTAGAATTCAATTTCAGTCGTATATAATATTCATGATCAATCAACAAAATGTTAATCGATCAATTATTAAAATCAATGTATCACACAAAAAGGATTTTATCAATGAAATTTTATTGAACATATTTTTTTTGGTTTGGTTTTTCGTGAATGGAAATGAAAAATTTACAACATTCATCATCAAGTGACTACAAACGTACAAAAAAATTGCTGTTTATGGTGTTTATTTCGGTGGAAAAATATTGAACAATTTTTTTTTTATTCACAACAAATTACATACTAACGGCAATTCAAAGCATCTCTAAAATGCACCCAAACACACACACACATACAAATACAAATACACACTCAAAACAATCGTTCGTACAAAACACATTCGAGTGCGCGCGTAAATTCTTGTGACAACAAACAAATTTGAGGATTCAAGAATTAGCGCAAGAATATTCCGGTATTGTGGCCGTCGTATTCAATAGTAGAATGTATGTTTTTCACTCATTATCATTATTGTAATTGATTCAAATTTGGAAAAAGAATAAGACAATTGCAGAATATGATAAATGAATGTTCAATTGATTATATATACATACATTTGATTGTTCGTCGAGTGCTTGTACCAGTCTATCCTTAAGTTCGATTATTTGCGAATGTTGCTGCATCGAGAGCGAACAATAAAATATTTGGCTAAATAATCCACGTGTTTTTGTTTGGTGATGATGATGATGATGATGATGGTAATGAGCGGGATTAAGGAAGACGAAATCTTTGATTATTGATGATTCAGGTTCCGTTATTTGAATATTAAAATGATTCCTTGTCCCGAATAAGGATCGGTCGGTGGATATTTTGCCCACAAAGTTTCAATACGAATAAAAACACAAATTGACAACACTTGATGTGATGTTTGGACAGCAAAACAATCGCACAACAACCACATTGAAAAAATCCCCAAGAATTTTGAGGGTGAGAAATGTGCAATGAAAGTTAAATGGTCAGAGGAGCTTCAATGATGAGGATGATACCTATTTAACATATAATTAATTATGATATAATTAATAATACAATTTTGAGTAGTAGAATAAAGAAAAAAAAAGGAAAGCGAGAAAAAAATAGTTGTAACAATCGATGATGAAAAATGTCAATGCATTCAAAATGAGACTGATTCATACATTGAAAGTGAAAAAAAATAACTTTATAATGTGTAAATGATTTTTTCCCTTATCTCTTTATGCACAGTCACATATTTTATGAACAGTACAGATTCAAATGTTTGTTATTCGAATAAAAACAACTGTTGAAAAATGGAAAAATTTTTCAAGTTTGAATTGGATTTGTTTTTGGAAAAATTGGTTTCATAAATTAAATCAGCGTGTATTTTTACAAAATAAAAACAAGTTGTGTTTATGTGCATGTGTGAATCGGCATCACAATTGTTTTGAATTTCACAATTTTATGATTAACGCAAAAATGAACAAGTTTGTTCAGATGATCCAAAATTTTACTAATTTGGTGAAGGGGTAAAAATAAGGAACCTTATTATTCACATTTCACTAATTTTCAGTTTGCGTAAATGTTACGAACAGGGCTGAAAAATTCAATGTAGATTTTGAAATCTTTGTATGCGTGTGTGTGTGTATTGTCTATGTATGTATATATGATATAATGAGGAGAAGTGAGAAAAAAGAAAAACTTTCTTTTTTTCTTTGCTAAAAAGTGAGGAGCGATAAAACACATACAACAAATAAACACATGCAGAATGTCGAGACGTGTACGAACCGTTTGCAAGCAAGAAAGCAAATGACGATAGATTTGTGTGTTCATGGCTACTTTTGTGTTTGTTTCATCCATCCATTTCGATCCAAGCGGCATACACAGAGACTGTGTGTATTGGCCAACCACTCACACACATACAGTGAAGAACTTCACCGATAGCGAACAGCTCGCCAACTGACGATTGCTGGCAATCCAACATCAAAATTGGCAGCAAAAAAATTTCGTAAAAATTGTGTGCAGACTAGAGTACATGATGTGTATAATCTGAACGATTGTGTAAACTAAACGCATGCGTATCAAATAATCTAGCATGACAAAAAAAATTGTAGTGGAAGCACAAACAAGTGAAAGATATAACAAAAAAGTGGGTGCTGAACACGCCTTTTCAGTACTGTTACATTTGAATCGAATTAATATATGGACAACTACTACTACAACCAATTTTTCAACCACAAAAAAAAAAAGAGAAATTATCGTCTTAGTAGTAGTAGTAGTAGTCGACAATAAAGGTATGACCTGACTAACATGTATTTCTCTTTGCTTTTTGCTAAATCATCCATCAATACTGTTTTTTTCAGTTTTCAAGTTGTTCGATTTCGATGTATAATGGTGATGATGATGATTGTGAATGGATAAAATGAATTCAATTCGTTTTGTAATCAGAGTTTGATTTGAATTTTACTTTTATTTCCGAATATATAAAGAAGAGGTCGAGTTGAAGTTATTAGCTTGTTTTCTGTAATGAGCCAATAGATTATAAATGGAAATAAATTTTCTTTATTTTTCAACAGCAATCTCTCATTCAAAGATAATAAAAATCCACTGCTTATGAAGATGAAATGTTTTTTTTTCGCCGATGATTGTTGAGGACATTTTTTTTCCAGAATTTTTACTAGGCCTGGAAAAAAAATCTTTGTCGTGTCGGTGTGTGTGTGTGGGTTTCAATGTGTGTATTGTTTGTGGGAAATAATCGAAAATTTTGTTTGCGTTTTGTTGAATTCTTTGACTTTCTGCTCTGTGACGGAACGATTGTTGGATCCATTGGATACCCGAAAAAAATAATTCGTTTAAATATTGAATTACGCATGCTCCATTGAATGGAAATTTTTTTTTAGTTTCTTCAAATTCGAATGGCCAAAACACCACAATCATTTCGTTTTGTGGCTGCAATTGTTGTGACATGAGCACATACAGCACACATTCATTCATTGTGAACGAAAATCAACTGACTTGCCAAGGCCTCTTTTTTTCTGTGTGCACACAATTCAAATGAATTGCTATTTTTCTCGTCATCACAAAAAATGTAAAAAAAACAAACGAATGCGCATGCTGAAAAACTGATTACTGAATGATGATGATGCTATATAACAATTTTCTATTGTCACTTTGTTTGTGTGTGTGTGCTGTTTTCACATTTAGAATGGCAAAAACTTGTATTTTTCATTTTGGGTAAAGAAATTTATATATGAAAAACATTCGATCATTTTCCACTGTGAGCACAAAGAGAAAGAAAAAAGAGACAAGGATAGGCTGCTACTATCATCATCATTGATGATGATGATTCTCAAATGGCAAATCCTTGTTTCCAGAAAAAATACAGGCCAAGCCAACAACAAAAAAAAACTCGACAATCGAGTTTGATACACATCACAACAGCAGCCATTTTGTTTGTTGTGTTTGTGTGTGTTCGTTGCTCTCGTTTCTTTTCGATTCAAATGCCTTTATTTTGCCTTGTCACACAATTTGGTATTTCAATGGTTTTTGTCGTTGAGGTTGCGCGGAGTTGCTGCTGTTGTTGATGATAATAATCACCACAAAGGAAAAAATAAAGGGGGGAATGTCTTTCGATATCCTGTATGTACACGATACATCTTGTTTTTCGAATGGTTGTTGTTGAATGGAATGAAAAATTGACTATAAGTTTGCTGGGGATTTCAGGCAACGACAACATCAGCAACAGCAGCAGTAGCCATTTTTATTGTATATGTCTGCAGTGTATTCCCTTTTTTTCTATTTCGTCGTTATAATATTATTTTCCATTGAGTTTCTTTTATGTGTACAATAAACGATTTTTTTTTGTTGAATTTTTTCTGCCTATGCCGATTTTTCGCCAAATGTTATTTTTTTCTACGTCGTATGTTTCAGGTCCATTTTAAACAACTTCCGTTCGTTGAATTTTCATAAATTCTACATCATTGTGTTCCGTTTTTTATGATCTACACGTTGATATAATTTTCATTCACCTTTGACCTTGTTTTCGTGGGGCCCTAGTTTTTGGCCATAATCGGGTCCTGTTTATCATCATTTCAATTTTGATCTCTAGTATTATTGATAATGAATAAATTCAGCAATTACAACGATGTTTTAGCACTTATTTTCGACCAATTTTCGTCCGGAAATGAATATCCGTTTTTTTGGGGGTGATTATCCATCAAAATTGTTGTAAATCATCTATATGAATATTTGGAATGTTGTTGAAATCAACTTGATCAACATGAATTTTCAAACAAATGGTCCATATTGATTAGCTCATCATTTTAGTGTTATTGCAAATGTGACATGGTTTTTCAAATTGAAAATATCCACAACTCATCGGGATGTGATTATTTTTGCCTAAATTTCCATATTTTAGATATCTGGAAATCTAATCTAACCAAACTTAAATGTCCATTTAGATTTAGATTTCATTTTGGAAAATTTATTGGTCCTTTTTTTGTCGTATTTTATGCAGAAAAAAAATTAACCAAAATGTTATTAATGGATATAAAATAGTACCGGAAAATATGAATTAGAATTTTGACGGATATATACTGATTAAAATACGAATATCCCAAAATGGATATAGACAATTTTTTTTCATTTGGAAATGGATTTACACTTTTTTCGTTGAGCAAACAACAACAACATTGACTCAGAAATGAGCAATACAGGAAAACTAATGAGTCAGCTCAGTTTTGCATGCTCAGCCATCTCTTGTCGAGAAATCAAAATAATTTATTTATTTCAACCACATGTTTCCTGTTCGATTGGCACGTTGTTTGACTTTTAGGCCCAACAGTCGACTTTTTGTTATTAGAAACGAAAAATTTCTTCAACAAAATTTCATCGTATCCAGAATGGTAACAGATACAGGTGCCAACAAAATGGTTTTGAAAATTAAACGATTAAGCGCCGATGCTCGACTACCAACTCGAGGTTCAAAATTAGCTGCTGGTTATGATCTATATGCTGCACATGATGCTATCATTCCAGCTCGTGGCAAAATAATGGTTTGTTGTGATATATGAATGATGATTGATGTGAATTTGATATAACACAATTAATTATCACTAGATAAAGACTGATATATCGATTCAAATTCCTTCTGGTTACTATGGTCGTGTCGCTCCACGTTCTGGTTTGGCATTGAAAAACTCGATAGATATTGGTGCAGGCGTTATTGATGAAGATTATCGTGGTAATGTAGGTGTTATCATATTCAATCATGGTGATCAGGCCTTCACCGTAACTTGCGGTGATCGGATTGCCCAATTATTGCTGGAAAAAATCATTACACCCGAAGTGATCGAAGTTGATGAACTTGATACAACCGAACGAAACGCTGGTGGATTCGGTTCAACTGGTGTATCATCATCATCATCATCAACAGCATAATCATGAAACCTTATTGTAATTGTAAAGTTCAGATTTATTTCTCCACTAAATAAAATTTTCCATTCTTAAAAGAAATATATATAATGTTTGTAAATTTTTTGAATCTCAACAATAAATTCGTTAGGAACGACATCTGTCGATGAATCCAAAATTCTCGAAATTGTTTTGTTTTTGTCACGTTTTTGTTTGTCAATTTCAAATTATATATCATTTCTATGGAAAAATGGATAATGTTGATGAGAAACAACAAAATCTAATGGATTTAAGCAAAGAGGTGAGCAAAGAATTTTCCATCATGTTCAATGTTGATAATAAAATTATTTTTCCAAACTAACGTAGGAGTTGATCGCTCAAATTCATTTGATGAAAAAACAAAATGAACAATTACAAAATACAATTGACAAATTGAAAAATCGTAACCAATCAAATCATGCTCAACAAAAACCACAAAAAGAATTCGATTTTTCGCGATACAAAACTCGACATGTAATGTTGAAGTTTCTTTATCTTGGCTGGAATTATGATGGTTTTACTGTTCAAGATTCTCTTAATACAATCGAAAAGGTTCTTTTCGAAGCGTTGATCAAAACAAAACTGATTGAAAGCCGTGAAACATGCAATTATAACCGTTGTGGCCGTACTGATAAAGGAGTTTCGGCTTTTTGTCAAGTCATATCGATTAGCGTACGATCCATCATGAAACGTGAACCAGATTTCGATGATCATATGGAACTATCCGATGCTCAAGAAATGGATTATCCTTCCATATTGAATCGAGTATTACCCCATGATATTCGAATGATATCTTGGGCACCTGTTTCATCAAATCCTGTGATAAGTGCACGTTTCGATTGCTGCCGCCGTGTTTACCATTATTACTTTCCCCGAATCGATCTTGATATTGATGCAATGAACCAAGGATGTGCTTCATTGATTGGTGTTCATGATTTTCGAAATCTATGCCGAATGGATGTCCAGAATGGTGTTACGAATTTCGTACGTCGTGTCTATAGTGCTTCCATACAACCATTTGTTGATGAGCAAGATTCATATTCATTCTGTTTGTTTCGTATCGAAGCATCGGCATTCCTTTGGCATCAAATACGTTACATAATGGCTGTTTTATTTCTTGTTGGCCAACATCTAGAATCACCGAATATTTTCAAAGAGCTTCTCAACATTCACAAACATTCATCACGGCCTCAATATTCGATGGCTTCAGATCTGCCATTAGTACTGTACGAAGCACATTATGATCCGGATAAAGTACCGATATGGAATCAAGGAAAAGATATCGCTAATACCATTGCTCAATTACGCTCCCAATGGATGAAAGAATCAATTCAATCGACAATCATCAAATCAATGATTGAATCATTGATCAATTCGGCTGGAATACGACTGGAAAACGATACCTATGGTGGAGTGCGAAAATTATTTGGAAATGCAGCCCGAAATTATAAAAAACTATTGGATCGTCCTCGTTGTAGTAGCTTTGAAGATCGATTAATCAAAACATCACAAAAACGTGTCAAAATTGAATAAACAAGTTTTATTGAACAAAAATTTTTTTATACCATTTGATAATTATAAAGGAAAAATCAAAATTCAAAATTAATCAGTTGAGATCATAAGAATTATTTCGAGAAACAATTAATATTTGTTTGGAAAATCCATGTCATCGACAATGATGTTGAACAACGAAATACGATTGCCTTTCAATGCATTCGAAGACATTCGAAGTAGCTCTTTGACACGTTCGAATGTTGCATAATCTTTCACACAACGTGTCGTATTTGATCGGTTGAACGGTTCTTCCACGCACATTAGAGAATTCCATTGAATGACGGCATTTTCATCGGTACCGACACCATTCGATGATCGATGATAGATACGATTCAATACTTTTCCTTCACGAATCGATATGATGTGTTGATCATAACGATAAACATAGCCAAAATAACGGAAAAATCCTTTCATCAATTGTTTCAATGAGTTATTGTTTTTGGATTGCCATTTGACTGGCGCCTGTCGCCATACATTACGTTCATCGTCCATATTGATATCGATATCATAACGTTGTGGCGACATTTTCTGCAAACAAGGCAATACTGGCGGTTCAACAGCCTGAAGATAATGGATGACCATCAATGTCCAACTGTATGGTGAGATACTTTTCTCAACAGCACTGTTGATACGATTTTCACGTGCCCATTCCTTAATGATCATTGCCAATTGTGGGAAACGCCAGTCCATTTTGGAATAATCACGAATCAGCTGTGTATTACGAATCGATACCTCCTGATTCAGATTCAATGTCACATTCATATTGCAGATGTTATCTTTGAATTTTATGATCGGTACTCTTGCCGGTATCAATACAATGTTTTGTGCGAAATTTTTACTCTGAAGAATCTTCTCGATATGTTTCAAGGCCAAATCTTCATTTCCAATCACATTGCCACTATCATCATTGTCATTTTCATTGGTGTCATCACCACCATCGGTATTTGAATCAGCAGCAGCATGAACAATTTTTTCTTCAACTTGTTCAACTGGTTTTTTTGGTGATTTTTCTGTCGGTTTCTTTTCGTTTTTGCTATTCGGCACTGGAACTTGTTCCGAATGCGCGGGCAATATGGATTTTTTATGAGCCATAACACAGATATCAACTGTTGAAGCATTATCACCAATTCCATTTGTACTTGAGCCAATTATATGCAAATTGATGACTATAAAAATGAAATAAAATTAAATTGAGAAAAAATTTGCTCAAAAAAAACTTACAATAATCTGGAAAACTTTGTTTAAAAGTATTCTCAAGACTTTCTCGCAGAATTTGTTTGGCTTTATATTTATCACTTGATTGACGATTACGATGATAGTAATCCATTATTTCTCGTGAAACAAAATCATTTGACGTTCCAGGTTTCGTATTCATCATACTACGTTGTTGTTGTCGATGGTTACGCTGTGGCATATTGACAACCACACTATCATTTGATGATAAATGAGATTCACTATTCGAACGATGTCGCAATCGATTATTGAAGCCAGTATTGGTGAAGATTCGTTGAATTGTAGCCGAATTCGATACGGTCGATGGCAGTGACAAAGTTGAATTACTCAACGAAAATCGAACATTTTTCTGTCGTACAAGCGAATCACTTCTTTCCTGATTTAGTTGTTGGCGTTGATGATGATTGCCATCGGTAGAGGGTGAAGAAATATTGAAACTATTGGATCGTGATCGAGAACGCGAACGATTCGATTGACGTGAACGACGTTTCTTGGATGATCCTGTGGTTTGTGCACCGGCATTATCAGATGAGGAAGTTGCTTGTTCATCATGTTGTTTCAGACCAATCGCTTGCAATTGGTTGGTCAATTTCTGCAACGTATTAGACATTTTCGGACTAGAAATTTGAGCAATTTTGCTTGATATTATAGCAGCGTCTTGATGATCAATCAAAATATTTGAAGACATTTGAACAAAAAGAATAAACAAAATAGCAGCGTGTTTGTGCTTGCAATGAATTTTAAATTGAAAATTGCATTTTCTAGCATATTTATACAAATTTTTCTAATCAAAAATCGTTGAAAACACTCATAGGCAATCATTGATTGACCTAGCAGGCAAAATTGGAAAACAAAAATCAATCATCATCAATTTGTCATCGATCAACATTTGAATGGCTCAATAGAAACAAAACATTCAACTTTTATGTGTTTATAATCAAAATGAGTCAATAAAACTGACGAAAAAAAAAATCTGAAGAGAAAAGAAAATTTAATGAGCTCAAGTCATGTTTATTCAAGATGAAGATGATATCTCATCAACAGCATCACTGACCAATACTAACCTTCAAAGTGTTGATAATTTATTTTTGTTTATGCTCACATCCTTTGCCTCAAACACATCCAACATTTACTCACAACCGATTTTGACTAAGAACAGCCATTGGATTCATTCGAGCATTCTCATCATTATCAAACAAACACCACAACAACATTCCAGCCGAACAAGATTTTCCTTTTTTTTCCTTTTTTTGATTTAAAAACTGGTGCAATGATTTTGCCTTTAAAAAATTTTGTGGAGATCATCGCCATCATTATCGTATGTATCATCGTCGAAAATTCAGGTAAAATTTTTAATTTTTTCATATAAAATTTTAATAAAATTTTCATTTTTTCCAGAATGTTCAGATTTCATCATCAACGAAACAATAACTTTGACCACAACCAGTCCGGATATCACAACATCAAGTTCCAATGAAAATCTACTAAATGATCTAAGAAATTTTATTCTTAATCTGAAACAAAATCCATTGGATGATGGATCAAATGTTTCCGATGACCAATCGCCACCATTTACTACGACCGAAGGCAAAATCATTGATGAAATTAATACTGAGCCTCCACTAATAATACCAAAAGAAGTGAAGCATCCACCATCCATAGAAATTGAAAAGGAATTTTCAATCATCCATGAAACTGATAAACCACCACCACCACCTCCAGCAATTCGTAGAGGATTTCGGCGACCGATTCTAAGGAAAACAACATCGCCTCCCGTAATTGAAAAAGTAACTATGCCACCGAAAAGCAACAGTACGGAAACGCTGAAAATTTTTCGTGGATTAAATCGTCCAATTCCGAGTAGAAAGTTCAAACCACCATCATCTACAGAATCAGTGGTTACTGAAACGCCTACCATATCTATTGTGAACAAACAACCACCCGAAACTCGACGAAGAAGACCTACATTCTTACGTCGACCTACAACTATTGCAACAACTACAGTTTCACCAATTATCGAAACCCAACCACCTAGCATTACAACTTTGAGCGAAATGGAACAATCGACCACCGAATCAACAACAATCACTCAAAAGGTTACCGAACCTCCACCAACTACCACTCCATTTTTCACCACTGTGAATGATAATCCAACGATTACAACTGACGATCAAACACCAATCATGACCACCATAACGACGAAAAGTCCAAGAAAAACAAAATCACGAACCGGGAAAAAAGTGCCCGAACAGACAAAAAATGTAGATTTAGTCGTAGTTTCAAAAACTAATCGGCCAATATCTAAATCAAATAAAAACTGTTCGAATGATTGGTCATGTCGAGGGGCAAAAACATGCAACGACGATGATGAATGTAATAATCACAATGCAATAACAACAACTGGAGCGACCAACAACGGCAAAAATGACAACAGGAAAACTTCGAGAAAAAACAGCAACAGGTCACGAAGCCGAAATTCGAAAAAGTCGAAGAAAAATGGTAAACGAATCTCATCAACATCGACGACGAAAAAGAAGGCAGCCGAACAAATTCAAATCGAGCGGCAACCACATTGTGAAATGGTCGTATGCGAATTACCTTGTTATATATTCAAAAGTGGAACCGATGTTTGTCCGGAATGTAGCTGTCCTGAAGCTAACTCGGATAGAATCCAATTTATAGCTACCAGTGGTTTTGAACCGGCATTTCGCCTGTCGAACAAACGAAATCAATCGAGAGTTTTTCGATTAAATTAGTATATAGAAAGTGTTTTGTTTTTAATATCAATTTTAACTACTTTTTTTTTTTTTGCATATATAGTATTATAATAATGTTTTTGTTCACAACAAATACTAATGATTAATAATTAATAATTAACAATTTCGTTGAATCAATACATCTCGACATTGTCCAATACGATCGATTGGTATTGTAGTCATGTTTGACAAAAAATGCAAAAGTTCTTCATGTTGAAATGTTTCTAGTGGCTTCAAATGAAACAATGAGGATACGATTCCGCTAGCGATTAGCATTTTATCACGATATAAATTTTGCAGTGAAATGATGTGTTCTAATACAACAATCTGGAATTCCATCTTGTATTCATTTCGAAATAAATCACAAAAAATTTCAAATCTTGATATGTAATAGTTTTGAGTTATTAGCTGAGAAATCTTCACAAGATGGTCGATATTAATGCTACGATAATCTTTTGGATAATTCATCTGGATGTAACGAATTGTGATCGATAGCAGTGTTTCGACAAAAATGTTCAATGTTATGATATTCGGATCAAAATTGATCAAATTCAAAATATTAACCTCGATCGAATTGATGTTGTTTCTCGTACAAAACTCGGCAGGAGCATTGATTCGTTCCATCAAATGAATAATGTTTGCACTTGAAAACGATGATCGTTCTCCATGTAATTTACTAGCGATCAATACACAGATAGCAATACATAATGTACGATAATCATTTCGACCATACAAATCACGAATATTCATCGGTATATCCAAACCAAAAATGATCAAATAAAGATAATCAAAACATTCCCCACTATCGATGAGCATTTTAGCTTCGAACCAAAATCAACACGTTCGGTCAAATCGATCGATTCGTTGCCTAGCCAAATGAATGATTTCGATATGGCCAAATCGAGAATATTTTCAAAAAATCTATCAAACAATTCAATACTATAACTGATGATAGTGTGATTATCGATTCGAAAATAATGACATATCCGTAAAATATCTCTGGTTATCGATGATAATGGTTCCATTAAATTACTCAGTGTAATCAGGGATGATGTGCGTATGACTCGCATCTGCTTGTCTGTTTTGTAGCGAAAAAAAAACATTAACAATTAAAATCACATAACCAAACAACTGACCATATATGATGACATTAACGGCATCAATTGTAATGATTTCGAGATAATCATTATCGTTAATTTCTTTTAGCCATTGTAACGTATCCATCATTGTCATTAAATCCGGAAGATCCATCGATGAATCAAGTTGATTTGTTTTATACAACGCCATCATCATCATCATCATCATCATGATTCTTCATCGATAGATGGCATGATGTTTAGACATGATTGAGTCTAGCCTTTTTTGTTGAAATGGCGCCATATATCTCTGTGCATTCCTTTGTTCTTTTTTTTTTTTTTCAAATGATTAGATTTGAATTTTTTGCTGAAAATTGAAAAAACAATTACTACCGGATGCCATATGTTGTCAGTATACTTTAATGGCTATTTTTATTGTTATTATGATGTGATATAATAATAACAAACATCATCAGCAAATATTCGTGTAACATTTATTGATCGATAAAAATTAAAGACACGAGACTGGCATAAAGTAAGTTGATCTTTTATCATTATTATTATCATTGATAAGATGCTACAAGGTGGCCCATTCATACTATCAATCAATTGACCTACCATTATTTATACTATATCATTAAATAATGGTCATCATCAGATTCCGACCATTTCAATGTAAATAACAACTTAATTTTCTTAAATTCTATCTTTGCTTTTATTTGACATTATTACCTATTGAAAGAAATATTTGACCATCATCATTATCATTATGATCCACATCATCATTATCAATGAATAATGTGATTGTTGTTGTTGTTGTTGTTGTTGTATCTAGATCATGGTGATGATGACGATCTTTGTGGTGGTGGTCGTCATAATAATAATCATTCTAAGCTTTCCATAAGACAACCACATTGTTTGGTGGCCTTATACATTGGACAAAAACAACGACTATTGTTGTCGACTTATTCGGTTCTGTTTTCATTTTTGTTTGTGTTTCGCACAATCACACATTTATTTGGTTCACCGATATACTACTCACTTATTCGAATTCCAATCGAAATTTTTTCCAATAAAATATTCAATGGAATTTTGCCTGACTTGTTTGAGTGCCTGAATTTTTTCCTCTTTTTTTTATCAAAAGTGTTTCGAAGAGGTAACCACTCGCATTTTGACTAATTATAGCAATAAAAATGAAGATTCATGATGGATTTGAATTCAAATTCATCTTCATCGTCACAACAGCAGAGAGCGAGAGCGATTAATCTTGTCTCCAAACGATTAGCGACATTTGGCTCGACACTTCGATGATCATTTTTGAATGTTTGTCCCTCTCTTTCTCTCTCTCCCTCGTTCTTAAGATATAGCTATGGTCGATCGGTCGCCATCGTTTTCTTCAATCTTCATTATCGTTATTTCTTCCGAAAAAAAATCTTAGATGCACAAAAAAACCACACACGTTGTGTGTGTATGTTTGTGTTTAGTTTGGTCAATGTTTGTTTGATGGCCATCGTACACACACACACACAGTAAGGCATTAAATACCGGTGACTAATTGAGCCATTAATCGATTCTTAAGAAAATATTTCATTTCCATCATTCATTCATTCACTTTCATCTTATATGTGTGTGTTAGTTATGGACTAAAGTAACGACTCCATACTCGATGTGTTGGGCATAATATGATGACCAGATCTGTCAGATAACGCACCACTTACACCGATAGTGGCCATTTGCTTGTGGATTTTCCTTTTTTCAATGTGATAATTGTTAAAACAAAACTACTTGTTTTCTTAACTGTTTTAGATTGATTGATTATTGGCCGGATTAATTTTGTTTTTGTTTTACCAAGATATACTTTGTAATAATCTGTTTTTTTTTTTCGTTATGTTTTTCTGTGTTTGTTTTGATTTGAATTTCAATTAAAATTTCATGCAATCCAATGAATGAAACGTTGTTTGGAATTGATTTGCATCTCATTTAATTCGATCGACATATGTTCAGTTGTTGAAAATGTTCTATTGGTTTACCCTGTGTTTATATACTTTGTTCAGATTAATTGGCTGATTGATTGATTGATTGATTTGTTTTTGTTTTCGTGCACATATCATATCATATATCTAATATTAATTGGAACATCAAAAAACGATATATCATCGTTCCAATACATTTATCTTGTTATCCGGAACAAGCCTTTGTTTGATTTTTTTCCCCAATTATGATAGAAGAACAATAGGATCTACAAAAAATGGCTTTCTTTTCTGTCAAACTTGATGAGTAGTTTTGGTCATTCTGGTTGTTGTAGCCATGAAGGTTTGTTTATATAATTTTCATTTTTTATTTTTATTTTTATTTATATACAGTATATTAAAATTCGATTCGGGCATCCATGATTTCCATATAAAGTCATGCAACACACACACTGACACAGACATCTAACTTTTAAATTTTCCAAAATAAATGTTTAATTCAATCTACATCAGTGTATTAATCTTGTGTGTGTGTGTATGTGCATTATTGTTGTTATTTTGTTTGGCTAATCCAACAAATCCGAAAATTGATTAATAATTCCCGTTTATGACGTTGTCTTCCAACATGTGTGTGGCATTATTTTTGCATTTTTTTCCTCTATTTTTTTCCATTGTCCATCTTGTATACAACATGATATTATTATTATTTTATTCAGATTTAAATTCGGTAAAATTCACCACCGTCCTCGATGATATTGTGTGCATAATTTGCATGATCATTGATGATGATGATGAGAATCCTCCGCAAAAAATGCCGTATTTTTTATATTGACCATCATCATGATAATCATGATCTGGTTGCCATTATTTTCGATTTAAATTTTTTTTTTATTTGCACAAATCTTTGAATAGTTTTCTTACACTACTCTGGTTAAAAATGTAGTTGCAGACTGATGACGACTACGCGCAATTCCTATGGCCAAAAGAAAAATACGATCATTTGTCTTGTAAAATCCATCCATCTAAAATTGTTTTTTTGTTAACAAACAACAACTCTATCGTAAATGAGAATTTTTTTCCAGGTTCCCTAGATATTCGTTAGAAATTTGAACCAAAATCAACATCAAAACAAAAAAAAATTTCCTAAATGTTTGTGGACGAAGATTTTGATCAGCGAAAAAATATACAGATTCATTGAGAAAAAAAACTGGATTTTTTCGCTGATGTCTGGCTTGATTATTATTGTGATTCTCAATATCTTTTGATGTTGTTGTGTGTGGTTCAAATGGTCTATGAACATATGGTACATTCGTTTTGCTCGTTATCAGAACAATTTTGTTGCTTTATTTCTTATTTCGAAGATCGTAAATTTTTTTTTTTTTTTTTTTGCTTGGATTAGATACTTGGTGGTAGTAGGAGAGATTTTTCTTTTTTTTAGAATGTGCATATACCTACTGGGTATCATTTATTGAATGAATGATAATATCGGAATTTTTTTTTTCATTGAATAAATGTATTTATTATCTTTGTATCACATGTTTATTCATTCACATCCGAATTCATTCAGTGAATTTTCTTCAAATTGTGGCTTGATTTTGTCATTTTTTTTTTTTGATCAAGAAAAACTTCGCACTATTTTTATGCTGAAAATAAATCGATCGGATTATATAATATAATGGTATACTGTGTTTGTTTTCGTTCACACGAATGTTGTTATCGGTCAATTTTGTTTGTTTGCCTTGCTCCTACACACACACACAAACACAAACACAACATCCATCCATATTATTAAAGCCCATATCTAATGAATTTCATTTCAAAAAAAATCATTTATTTCAAAGCAAAAAAAAATTGGTTTGTTTAAAATTAATAATTAATTAATCAAGCAAGCAAGCAATCGAGTAGAGCAAAGAGAAAAAAAAGAAGTGACCTGTCCGGTATCAAATATGGTTGTCAATTTTGTTGTTGGTTGATCAATATGTGTGCGTGAGTGTAAAATCTATGTGTATTTACAAATGACGAGAAAAAAAAGGCGAAATATATCGAAACACCATAATATTGGTTTGAACGTGAAATTTCTAGTTTAACAATCAAAATTGTTACACACAAGAACAAAAAAATTGCCGATTCTAGAATTAAAAAATTGTTGTGAACAAAAAAATATTTATGATTCAATTAAGAATGGATCGATTAATTCGTATATAGCTGCTATGTACACAGAGTGGAAAAGAGCAAGAAATTTTCAATTTGTCAAAAGAACACGTGCATCGTTTGTGTGTATGTCGATTGTTGTTGTTGTTGTTGTTGTTCTATGCAGTTGATCTATAGATGTCGTGTTCATCAAATTTTTCTTGGAACAATTCAGTTGTTGTTGTTGTTAACGACCTAACATTGTATGTCGTTTCATATGCAATGACAGATGATCGCTTCGTGAAAATGCCCGTTCACAAAGTTGACATTGAAATGGCCGATCACCGGTATGTTTACGAAAATGTCTGGTCAACTCATCAGATCGAGCAAATTTCCATCCACAACCTTTCCAGCTACATTGATACGGTTTCTCACCGGTATGTGTGCGTAGATGTGCTTTTAGATGTGAACTTTTGGAATAGGTTTTCGTACAGCCATCATAATTGCAAACATGTTGCGTAACTTTTTTCTTTCCACTTGCTTTACGTCCACGACGACTTTTACCGGCCGGTGTTTGCGGCTGTAATGACGGTATTAGTTGACCATTCTCATTGATCATCGTCAGCAATAGATTCGATGCTGTTTTGGCCTGTTTAGATTTCGGACCACGTCTTCCACGACCAGTTTGTTTCACAGTGTGTGTTCCATTCGTCGTATAGATTGTATTGATACCGATTTGCATCAATAGCTGTGTGTTTGATGATTGCATCAATACTTTTGATTGATTTACAAGCTGTGGCGGTGATGTTGGTGGTGTCACTAATGATGAGCTAATTGTTGTGTAATTGATCGAATTATTACAATGTCCTTGATTATCGGCGTAATAACCATTTGTGTTCAATTGATGATGAGCATGTTGCGAATAAAGTTGTTGACTTGTTTGATCTTCACGAATAATCAATTGCGATTGAGATTGACTTTCTTGGCCAACAATGATTGATGATAAATGATTGATGCATGAATTTTTTGGACTATGAAGCATTTGCGAATTATTCACCATATCAACTGAATAATTATAACCAGATGCTATGTATTCATTTGTTGCTGTTGTCGATGCTGCGGTGGTGGTGGTCGCTGCAGCTGCAGTTGTGGTTGAGGCAACACTTGACTGATCAAGATGATGGATACCGGAACCGGTAATCATTTCGCCTGTACCAAATTGATGGTTATTACTATTCGTATAATATGAATCAGTTTGCTTATGTTGTTGGTGATGATTATGATGATGAGCATTCGGATATGACGATTGTATAGCATTGTTATTGTTTGGTGATGATGGTGGTGATATTTGTTGATTCGATCCATTTGTAACATTGGCTACAAATGCTGTCGATTCATTTGGATTGATCCAATATGCTTGTGTTGATCCTGTTCCTGTTGATCCATATTGATGATGGTGATGATGATGATTATAATAGATGCTATCCAATGAGATGCCTTCATTATTGTTTAGATCGCTATTATTTGATGCAGAATTCTTATCCGTTTGTTGATGGTGGTGATGTTGTTGTGTTTCAACATTAATTTCGCCATCATTATTGTGTGGCCATAGACCATAAGATGAATGATCCAAATTGTTTGCAAAATAAATCTCACCATTCACTGGTGGTGATGATTTTCGTGTAGTTGTCGATGTCGGTGAAATTGATTTCAATGCATATGATCCATGATGATGATGATTATATGGTGATGATGAATATTCACATTGCTGTTGCTGTTCCATTGGTGGTGTTGGTGCAGAATTTGTTGTTGTTGGTGATAATTTTTGTAACGTTGTCGCTGTTGTTTGTTGTGGTAATTGAAAATAATCATTTGTATCATTCGGATGACCATAGCCAGATTGATCATAATAATTGGAATGGTTTTGATGATGTAAATGATATTGTTCATGTTGAGGATAGCTATCATACACAAGCATCGTATCATGATGATTATGATGATGATGATGATGATGATGATACATTTCGGTTGTTGTATTGGCATTGTCGGTTTCTGTTGGACTATTTGTTGTATTATACATCACTTGTTCATCATTTGTCGTATTTGTTGTCGATGTTGTGGTTGTGGCTGTGTTTGATGGTGAATGATGGTTGTTGTTCATCAAGGTAAACTGAAATTGTCCATTATCGTTGGATGGCAACGATGGTTGTGGCGGCAGGATGACGCTCTCAATATCTTGCCACATCTATGAATTCAAGATTTAAATTTATTTTTTTTTCAATTCAATCTATAATCTATAATTCAGTAATTGAAATCTAAAAACTTACATCTGAAATTTCGTTAATACTGTTTGTTTGAATCGATTTGGAAAATTTAGTACCTATCGATGAGGAAGATGTTGAATTAGTAGCTTGATGATGATGGTGGTTATGATGATGATGATGAATTTGATGATGAGATAATATTGAAATCATTTGTTCCAGTATTTTTACAAAAAAAAATGATGATGATGATCTATTTCACATACATCTGATTGAAAATCCAATACTTGCATCAAATTCGATGTTAACATGAAATTCAAACAAACTCGGTTATTTTTTTTAACGACGTTCAGATGATGGTCTTTGTCTCGATCGAAGCTAAACAACACTGAATAAATGACCAAACAAACTCTAACATTTCGATTGAAGATGAGAGGTTTATGCAGCTAACAATCTGATTATCTTCACACACACACACACAAACTCACGCGCAGTACAGGTTTTTTTCTATCAACAAACACACAAACTGTTAATACATGATGATAGTGAGAGAGGTGTGGTTAAAGGCGGTTCATATCTCTTGTTCATCATTGGCAAAGGTAGATCTTAGTAGGCGGTGTCATTTTGGTTATTCTCTTTGATTATTCGTAATGAGTATACTCATGACATTTTGTATGATGATGGTGATAATAAAATGCAGTCATATAACCTGTCCTATTCATTTGTGTCATGCATCCATGCTATTTTTTTTTTTTTTTTTTTTTTTTTTTTGTTATCGTTGTTATATGGAATTCATTCATTATATTATCATGTACAATGACAAAAGAGAAAGAGTGGATTTTTGAATCTATTCTATACCATCATGATGATCAGACGATGATTACCATGCAAAATAGGGGGTAGACAATCATGATGATAATAATGATCATTATTATCATCCATATATTACTGCTCATGTTGTTTATTGTTGTTGTTGTTGTTAGTTCATTAATTTTTGTCTATTCTTGTTACATAGGCTTTATTTTTTTTTCATTTTTTCATTTTGTTTTTGTTACACAATTCCTATGATGGTCGAACCAGTTGAAGGACATGAGTTTATTAAATAATTTTTTGGTAGCATTTACATGTATATGATGTTTTCTTTGAATTTTAATTCATTCATATATGACTTGGCGTGCTGTACAAAGACTAGAATGTTGATTAAATTATTGGAAATTGATTTTATTTAGTTAAAGTTAAACACTTTGAATTTTAATGGCTATTTATTTGTGATAATATAATGATGATATAATCAACACATCCGGTCTAAATCTAATCAAAACAATTTAAAGATTGGCCATGAAATTTCGTGATTTTCAATTTAATTGATTATTAATTGCTATGGTGTGAATGTGTTTCTGGGGGGTGATAATGATGATGGCCATCATAAGACATGACCATAAAATCATCATCATCACCTTTGTTGATGAATGATGAATCCAATCGAATTAAATCATGACTAAAGTTTGAAAAATAAAACGAAAAAAAAAATTTCTTCGGTTTTTTAATCTTTGATTTATTTATTAGGAAATGATTTTTGGTTATTCACACTCTACAATATAGTTGTTTAATTTATGTTTATGTTTGCCAAGTAACAACAGCAACAAACAGACAACAACAACATGCTGAATCTAAATCAATATTGTTTTGAATGGATCCAATTGATCGAAACCATTTTTTCTGACCGGCCAATCATCACTAATACCAGAAACGTAAAAAAAATCGATTATTTGTCATCGAATTAGTTATTCAGTTGGCCGAGGTAACGATCTATTAGATTTGTCTGTTTAATTCGTGATTTGAGCCGCCTTTTTTTTCCTTGTGGTTGTTGGTTAGCCTCAACACACATTGATCTAACAGAAATAAATTCAGAATTGGCCTGCGGTGATATACACTGTATGTTCAGAGAATCAATAAGAAAATGAATTGAAATTGAACGAAAATGAAAAAAACGAGAGATTGATATTTGGAGCATCTGCTTTTTTTATTGCGTTTTTTTAGTTCTTGTTGTTGTTGTTGTTGTTGTTCATTTTGATGAACATCACTGTTCATTTCATTTCTTCTGGCCAAGACTCCCCTTGGTCTGTTTATCTCGTTTTTACATGTGATGTGTGTTTAATAATCGCATCGATGATGTGGCACGTGGATAAATTAGTGGACCAAATGGTCGTTTGATTTTAGTTTTTTGTCTTCCTGTTTTTCTTTCATTTTTTTCGGATCGATCATTATGATGATGATGCGTGATACATCTTTGATTCCATGTTTTCGTAGATACCATTAATGTAATTAATAATTTTTGCAACCAAATAAAAATGATGCATCCAAAAGCAACAACGAAAAAAAAAAACTCATATGGTGATCGTAATATAATAGATGCCATAAATGGCTGTTGTTGTTAGTTCAATTTGATCCATAATCATAATTGTTTTTTTTTCTGAGTTGAGTTAAAACCAACCAGCTTACATCGATGGCCAACTGCTGTGTTTGTGTGCCAATCAGGTAATCTGGTGCTCTTTTTGTGGTGTTCATCATCATCATCATCATCACATCACACAGACAACAAGGTATAACTCATGAAACGAAAAAGAAAAAAAAAATTCATTTCACGAAATTCGAGTTTTTCTTTTTTCGATATAATCAGCAACGAAAAATGATTATTATGACGATGATGACATGATGCGATGACAGACAAGAATTTCAATCCATTTTTTTTTTGAACTTTATTTTCTGTCACAACAGCAATTTTTAATATTCAAAAAAAAAAAAAAAAATAAACGATATTCATCAAATGATTAAAGGTCAAAGGACCCAACATATACGATGATGACCATCAATCAAATGATTACAATAAAAGCCATAAATGTTTTTTTTCAAAAAAAAAAATATTTTATGCATATTCAGTTAATCTATATCTATACAAGATATCGTTGAATTTTCGAAATCAATAAATTTTTAGATTATCCGTAGTTTTTTTTTCAATCGATCGTATATCTTTTTGTGGTTATTTTCATTGCAAATGGCATTGGATCGAAATGAATTTTCCACTTTAATTCAATGAAAACAAAACACTTTCATTTACACATGAAAGTTATTGGCATTTACCGGATTTATCGTCTCGTTTGTTCAAGAAAACCTGTCAATTGAATCATGTAAGACAACAACAACAACAGCAGCAGCAACATCAATATGTCGAAATTAGAATTGATGATATGATTGTGAGTGCTTCTGGTGTTCATCCACTTTACCTATTACTTGGGTGCTTGATGCATGAGATATGATGATGATGATGATGGTGTTGATGATGAAGATGCGAATCACGATCTTTAAGACATTTCCATCATCATCATCAATAATAAACAATTCTTAAATTGACCAACACGATGTTGACCAACATTTTTGGTGTTGGTGTTTTTTGGTTTGATAATCATTATGATGATGATTATATCAATGCAAATGTCTATTATGGACACTTGTTTATAAACATGCACAAACACAAACACACACTTGAGCCATGAATGAATGTATATATGATGTGTAATTTTTCTAAAAGCAAACTTTTCTCCATTCAATTCATATTGTATATTAAACTATTGGCAAACTAAAACAGATGAATGATTATTACGATCCATTCATATCAATTGATTAATGATTTCTAATTTAAGCTCACGGCAGATTAGCTATACATTGCTGCTAATTCTTCTTAGTTTATCCGACTTGATGACAGCTTGATCATTTATCTGATTTGATATGATTAAGATGTATAATCCAAACGAGATGACAACGATGACTACTACTTATCTTTATCATAAACTCATAAGATCAGATAAGAATCGGACTGTTGTATGACCAGAAAAAAAATGAATGTCATTATTATTATCATTGGATCGCCAACTCATATTCATTTTTTATTGTATGTAAGATCATATAATGAAAAATAAATTGGCCTGCCCGAATCTCAAGTCGGTGTGTTTGATTTAATTTTTCTTCATTTTTTTCTGGATTTCTTGATTATTGTTCCAATTATGAACATTGTTTCTATCGAAATGATTAATCTGCATGAATTATGGCCATCATAAGAATGATTATTCAATGAGTGCAAGAAACAAAACATACTAATTAAACTTTAGCTACTGCTATTGATACACTTTTGAAAACATCTTTTTCATCACTATTGTTTGTTGGCAAATAATAAATGGCCAAATGTTTTTTTTTTGTTTGTTCCAGTTGATGAAATGACCAAAATGTTCATAATCAAAAGACAAGATGGAAATCTCATACAGTTTTTGCATTGTGTGTATCGATATGGAATCTTAATTTCTTTTCATTTGATTTGTTTTTTGTTATGTTTTTTTTTTTCTATGATTTATGAATGTAATCAAAAATAATTTTCTCAATCGATCCAAATGAGAGAAAAAAACAATCATGTTCATTTTCTTTTTGATTGCAGTCAGATGTGTGTCTCAAATACAGAAAAAAAAATCTCTAGTTAATCATTCAAAATTTGAATTTGCAATGTATGAAATAGGAAAAAAAATTCGTTTTTCTAGAGTATTAAATTCATTTTCTTTTTGTTTTGTTTTGTTTTGTTTTCATTCAAACAACAATCCAGGATTATCATCAACAAAATTCATAAGAAATGTATTACAATCATCATCATAATAATAAATTTGGATTAAACCACACACACACACACACACATATATTTAGTGCTAAACAAAAACAAAAATAAAAAAATGCTTATGCATTGCTTTAGGCTCTATTAGCGGTTTCCGTATATGCACACACACACACACACACACACACATGAAACACATCATTCGGTAACATCAATGTGTGATACCCTCTCATATATATACTTTATGATGAGAAAATTTCAATGTAGCTAAAATGTATTTTTTTTGCCATGTTTTTGATGATGATAATAATAATACGTGAAGCACACCATAATTTACCAGATTAAAGACAATTTTTTTTCTGTTGTTATTGCTGTATAATATGTTGAACATGAATTGTTTTATAATGATCAAATAGATCGATATAATGACCACAATCCTTCGATTTGTAATTGATTTTTTTTGGATTGAATAAATTAATCAACACTGATGAACGATCAGAGATCTAAACAAATAAAACAACAAAAACAATCAAGGTAGTGGTTGTGTACTCGTGTGATGATGTTGATGATGATGTTGATGAGTTGTTTCTCATAAAATAAATTTTTTTTCCACACAAAAAAATAGTTGTCATTTACCATGGATGTTTGCATTCACAATTGAATTATTACCTGTTGTTGTTATTATTATTGGTCGATTCGTGTGTGTTTTTGTTTATAC